GCAGTGATCTGTTACATCCTCTGGCTGCTTGGATAGAAGCAGTATTTTTTGCCAGTCTTATCTAAGTTTCCAACAAAATGAATCCTGCCCATGCTCTGAAAATGTAGGAGAAGTGTAGTGATTAACTATAATTACTGGTTGACGAGGAATTTCTTTCTTTTTTCTGCATCTAGATGTCATGGAGAAATCTAGCACTGCAGGCTAGATACCCTCTGGGTCTCCTGTGTAGTCATGCCCCAGGCTCATATCTCTTTGGCTACAGGTTATACATTCATCATTGGTGATTGTGGTTTTCCCATGACTAACAAAAACCAACTGTTTTTTTCTATCCAAGTCTTCAGCTAAGAACATTATTGCTATCATCTCCCTTGTACTTGCATTTTATCTGGTTTTTATTACTCAAAATGCCGACTCCTGCTTTGTTCATTCATGGAAATAGCTGTAAAGTCAACCCAAGGCCAGCTAATAACCTGTTGTTTTCACTTGATCCTGAGCTTTTCATCTCTTTCTGATTTGCCAGTGCTCTCACTCATCTTACAGTTTTAAAATTAATTTCCAGCTACTGTAGTTAATAAAATAATCTCCACTGAGAATGGAATGAAGCACTTAATTAAATTCCAGATAAACCGAGTGTACCCCATTTATTAGGTTTCTTCTTAGACAGACTGAGTAAACTTTTTCCATGCTATTGTTACCTGTAAGTGATTTAGAGTACTTGGAGGATTGCCTTTCAACCTAGTGAAGAAGTTTTCTCAAAGGAGGTAAAGAAATCCCACAGAAATTTTTTGCTGGATTAGCAATTACAGAGCATAGGTAAAGAACACATCTCAAGCAACCACAGTGAATAACTTTTTTTTTTTAACAGACTTTTTTTACTGTATGGTTAAACTTTCTAACTTGTTTAGAAATTTTTTTTTCCTTTACATCTAGGGATTTAATTTGATTTAGGAAATCATGCTAAAGTTTCATAAGTCTCCCTTCTTTCAGTTAATATTATTGTGAAAAACACTTGAGTATACTTTGCAGTTCTAGATTTTTTTTGTAAGCAACATGTAGAAAATCACCATATTCACCTGTGAAGTCTCTCAGTAAAAATGCCAGCAGGCTTTTGAAGGCATGGAGTTTAATCATCAAGACAGCTATTTTTTCATTCAATTCCTTCCCTTAAGCCTCTAAATTACTTTCTGAAATGGCCTTTTTCTTATTATGCATTAGTAACTGTAACAAATAGAGCAACAAATGTTACCTAACACTGTAGCTGTGAAGAGCTCACAATTCATTGGAGATACATCTAAATACCCCTGAATATATTTTTACCTTATGTAACATATTCCCAAATGTTTTCCTCCTTGTTATTTGATCCCTAATTTAGGAACTTAAAAGTTTCCAATATACAAGCAACTTTAATCTTTGTATTTCAGGATGTTGTTAAATGTTAAGGAAAGAAGACTGAGCCTATTGAGCCCTGGAAGTGTTTCCATTTCTCCTTTGATATCCTGATTTTCTTGACTGAATGCCTGAGAACACAATTGTACACATACTCTTGTTTCTGGATGCTGATGGCCTTCAACAGCTGACAAAACTGTGCAAGAACTTACAACAGGTAATGTCATATATTGGTGTCCATATTAAAGTTTATTGTTAAGAAACAAGGTGAGGTGGAATTTCTCTTCAGTTTCATCCAGCAGAACCATCTGCGTTTCTGCACAGCCAGATATAGGGAGCAGCACAGCACACACATACCTGGGCACAGATCACTAGTAACAGGCCAAGTCCTCCGTGCTGTGGACAATCTAAAGCCAACCCCCCCGTCTGGCCAGCTAAAGCCTTCCAGAATTACTTTTCAATCTGTTCACTAGAGCTGGCAATTGAGATCCTGGCAGAAGAAAAAAAACTAAAACACCAATACCCTAAAAGACCCAGCCCCTGCCCACCCCCTTTCAACTTCTATGCAGAATCTTCATATTTGATTCTAGACTATATCAACGTTTTTAAAGAGAAGGGGGGAAAATCGCCTATATCTGCATGTTTTGCATACATTTTGTATGTTTCTGCATATTTCTGCATGTTTTTCCTGCCTTCTGCATATGCTGGAAAACATTCATGGATCTTGCATGGACCGTGAGTCTCTATGCCATTTTTGCTAATCTTTACCCTTTTGGAGTGTGTTGGACAATTTTTTTTTTTAATAATCCAGGCTGCTAATTGGAATTGAGCAAAGAACACTGCAGTCCAATGTCTTCTGTGTTTGTGTCAATTTGAATCAAAATACTGTAATATTTATGTGACAGTAATGAGCCTCTGATAGAATTTATGTAATTGTAGATGGGATATGCAAATGGGCATATTCAGGAGATCAGATATGGCCTAATGATATCTAAATCACAAAATATATCTGGATTTTTTTTTTCTTTAGTTATGTAACAATGAAGAAGTTTGGGAGAGGGTTTAACTGCTAAGAGGGAAACCAACACTTGGTAAGGTGGCATTTTCAGTCCTCAAGAACTTCAATGAAAAACTCAAGTGGAGGCACAGAAGACAGAGAGAATGCCTCTAAGTCACTTAGAAATTATCATACAAGATTCTGGTTTCCCATTTCTTTCTAATGAAACAGTTATAAATAAGTAACTTGAGAATTTTAAGTCTCTCCTATCATCATATAATACTTAAACAAAACCACCAACTCACAAGTAATTTTCCACAGATTTTCAACATTCCATCAGGTTTGGGGAGGGAAGTACTACTCCATTTTCCTTTTTAGGCATATTTTATTCTGATGTTCAATATTATTTTGTGCCCAATGAGTGGGTTTTGTCACGTTCATATTTCAGGCTTTTGTTTGGGCTGTTCAGTTGTAATACTGCAAATAAATGCCAGCAGAGAAACTGCCTTCAGCATGAAGAGGAGTGTTGGCTTAACCATGAATGGACCTCCAAAGACTCTCCAAAAACAACTTTGAGCCATTTGGTTTTAAATTAAAAGAAGCAACAGAATGTATTTATAAACTGAATGTGAAGTTGTCAGTACAGTGTTTGGAGTTGAATAAGCTTCTCTTTAAAGCTGCAACAAGCACAAATGCAGGGATTTTTACTGAATATTTACATTCCACATCAGTTTCCAGTAACACAATAGAACATGATAGAATGGAGCCCAATCTCCATTTGACAGAGTGATTTCCATCTTCCTAAATGTCAATGACCTTGGAATTCAATGAGAAACCAGGCAACAGAAATTTGGTGAAGCTCTCTATATGTAGAACATTATATTTTAAAAGCAAGAAAACAGATGGCACTGAAGTCATCTGTGATGTAACCAGACACAATTCCCATTCTGTGGGGATGCTGTCTCTACTTTCAGCTAAGCTGAATTTGCAAAACAAAGTTACTATTGTGGCAAGGAAGCTCTCACGCCACGATGAGTTTGCACAAAGGCAGGCGGCAAGCCTGCGTTTATTTGATGTCATCGGGAGAAGCATAAAAGAACAAGTGAGCACAGAGCAGGCGGCAGCTCCTCCAGCAAGGGAAGCAAGCTCAGGCCCTGCTGCATTCCTGTGCAGGAGACATTGGAGAAGGGACTTGGAAATGTATTCTCCTGCTTTAGCCATTGTACTTTGCAGCATTCCTATGAGGTACATGCTCAATTCCAGCGGGCAGTCTTCCCTGCAGATATGGCTGCACAAGCTCCCATCCCAAACCTGATTCCTGTTTCCACAGGCACAGGCTGTCCTGCTGGCACTGCCCAAGATGACCATGAGTGCAGAGAGGGGAAGCTCAGTGATGGTGTTTTCTCTGTTTCAGGAGGGGCCACACTGTAGCACAGAGCCTGCAGGCAGCACACCCATGCACCCTGGGCTCCTGGTGCTCCGGGGGCTGCCGTGCTGCTCCTGTCTCTCCTGAGGTACTTGTGGCAGGTGTAGCTGGCCATAGCAATGCTCAGATCCTGCTGATGGTGGCCAGTGCTTCCTACTGCCCCCTTCAGATGTGGCAAGAATAGATACCAGTACCTGCTGTGTTAGAGAGGCTGTCCCAAGGGCTCCTAGAGTGGCACTGCCAAGCCGTCAGGCAGCTTGGGATGCAGCTCAGGCTGCAGCTGTGTGCAGATGTTGACTACTGCACTCTCCACATCCAAATTTGGATGTCCTGAATATTCCTTCCATGTGAATACCTAAGTCAAAGGACAGCTTCTCTGTCTCTGCCCCTTTGGGCAGGAGCCTGCATTCACAAGAACACAAAAATTTGTCAAAAAGCTGCAGGAATTTCTGTCTTGACCTGAATCTACAGCTTGACCTGATGGGCACAAGTGTTTAAGCACTGACAGTTTTTACTGGGATGAGGTTTGAGTAAGAAGACCCAAATGGAAAAACACTGCAAAATTCTTGTGTTTAGTTAGTTCTCTATAATACTATCAAGAGGTGCTTATAACCAAGGAACTTGGGTGCAAGTGGAGAAGCCCAAAAGCCGAAAGATATCAAACTTGAGTTGTGAGCATGTGCAAAATCACAGCTCCTCTGTGTCCTGCCAGTCCCTCTCAGAGGTGAAACACACCCCCTGCTCCAGGGACCACAGGGCATCAAAAAAAGGTGGGAAATGCTTTTGAGCAGACCCTCAACTGGTGAAGATCCCAGCTGTGCCCAGCTCTACTGCAGAATTTCCCTGACGAGTTTCCTTGGCTCAAGCTGGGATTTTTCACTGAGGGGAAAGCCTGCCCTCTCAGTGCTCAGCCAGGACACCACAACAAAATCCTTTCTCCTGCAGTCAGGGTAGACTTGGCAAACGAGATAAACTTTAGATGGAGCTAAACCCAGATGATTCTCTAGCAGCAGTTTTACTTAATCTTGAAGTAATTTTAGTTGGCAGCTGACTTATGTAGCCTGATACTAAAATTCTTCTCAACTGTATTTTTATCTGCTTCTGAAGCCTGCAAAGCAGTATAACAGCATCTTACTCTTTTTTTTTTCTGGAGTAATAGATGAAAAAATAGCACAGTATCACATCTCAAAATCATAGTCAAAATCTTTTTTGCTTTTATTCTATTTAATGCTTAATATCTGGTAAAATACAATAAATAATTTTCAGTCTAGGACAATCAGATGTTATGCTTAATAATAAAATGTTCAGAGAGGATGTAAAAATAATATCTTACTATTTAACTTCAATGACAAAGCAGGTCTCAGTTTTAGACAACTGAGAAATTTTCAGCCATGAAAGATAAATGAAGATATCCTGCCCTTTCATAAACACACGTCTATCATTGAAACCAACAGAAGACACACACACCCCCACACATACATATGTATATGTGCCTGCCTTAGAGGGCAGAATTTGGCCTGGATCTTACAAAATGGTAGTTTGCAACTGACATTCATGAGTGTTTAATTTTTTAACAAATAAAACTGCAGAATGCTCATGTATTTTACATTTTCCAAATCCTGTTACTGCAACTTATATGAAACATTAGCATATAAAAAGTCATCACTGTACAACCACATTTTTTTGTCCAAAAGTCAGTGTCAGAATGATAAAAACCAGCTATTTAATTAAAACCAGATTTATTGTTAATGTGCCGATGTTTGCATTAGCTGTGTTCTGTTTTAAGCACAAGGAATCTATTAAAACATAAAAGGCAAAAGTGGCTCAGAAAATGACAAACTCTCCAAGAACATACTTGTAGCTTTACTAACACTTATCTGACACTACAGTTAATTGAAAACCAATGTAAACACCATGAGGTACAGATACCACTGGACATTCCTCACAACTGTGCAAACTGTGGGCCTCATCCTGAAAACACCACTGGCTCCAGAGCTTCGTCCCAGGGCTGGTCCCCTGAGTCCATCTGCAACACCCTGCAGCAGCCCCTGCCCCTGCCTTTTGCAGGAAGGGGTCCTGTGGACCCTCATGTCATGCACCAAATACATGTAAAATGCCTCAGATTTCAAACTGATGCAAATTTACATTTCATTTTTTTAGACTCAAGAAGTTGACATAGCTTCTCTAAAGTCTTATATAAATATTCCCTTAAAATTTTTAGAGGGTCTTCTATTTCAAGGTAAATCTAATAAAATACTTGAACTGCTTTTAAATTACGCAGAGTGCTGAGCTCCTTTTTGTAAAAAAGCAGCAATATTCCTTTGCTGTAAGATATTTTATATATCTCCAGTCACTCTTCCCTTTATTTTACAGAAAGTAAGAGGCAGAGCTTTTATTATTTTGTTGATGCAATTGCCTGTGGAATTCTGAAACAGCCCAATGGATTTTTGTGATGATGCTGAATCTTAAATTCATTCCTTTTCACAAGACTTTTCCCCCAGACTGTTTTATTCTGCTTCTTCAGTCTTTTCAGAACCAGCTCCAGCTGAATTATCTGCCTCATACTTTTTATCAGGAGCATCTTCAAAGGATTTCCCACTGCAGTCATAGGTTTTGCTTGTAGGTCCCATATGTGTTCGGATGCGAGCTCCTGGCTGGTACAACTGCATGGCTGGACGATCCTAGAGGGAAGGAGATAATGGTTAACGCTGTGAGAAACTCATGTGGGACACATATGTGGAATTTTAAAGTTTTGAATCTTTATGAAGAAAGTAGATTTTGTGTTAAATTACTTTACATTTTATAAGAACCAGGAAAAAAATGGCATGTAATGAAAATTGACTTGGTATTCAGTATCTAGTATTCAATATGGGTTGTTTGTAACACTATTCTTGGGAGCCAAACATTTGAAAAAATGAAAAACACTTTAAAAATTAAAGATCCTATGATACATTTGACATAAACAAGGAGAAATACTGCAATTATCAAACATGCTACTTACAAGTAAAACAAAAGAAATGTTGCTACCTTCACTAACATCAGCTGAGAAGAACAATAGCCTGTGCACTTGCAACTCTGCAGATGAAATGTCAAATATTATACAGAACATAAAAATCCAAGACAGACTAGAGAACAGCTCAGCAGGTAGCAGCTAGAAAATTATTCTCAACTGATCATCAATCATTACCCAATCCTTACCAGAATTTAAACATGCAATGCACATTTGAATTATACACATCAAAATAAAATTGTACAGTTTTTGCACCACTTCATCTTGCCTTCCATACTGAGTATGAGAGCAAGAGAATTTATGCACTGATAATAAACAAAGGAAGTACAAGTTGAGATGTGCAGGCTCTATGAGTGACCCAATCATACACATGCTGCTCTGATCCTGAGAAAATGGAAGAAGGAGCCAGTTTATGTGGAAAATACACCTCAAACCTGAAAATGGTGATGCTTTTCAGAGCACTCTTTATTTTTGAAATTTCATTAGTAAAACACACCAGTTAGAAACTCTGCTTAAGAAGTCTTTTCCTGGTAAGGGTATTCTACTTTCGCATAATGTTATGAAGCAACCAAAAGCTCACCACTACCTGAGCTTTTTGATCAGTCTTGTGTTAAGTTTAGCAAACAGCCAGCAGCCTACTTAAAGACAGTGGCAGAGCACTGAAACTGTCCTACATCAAACTATACCATTTTTCAATTCCTTCATAATGAAGTAAGTAATAAAATAAGTAATAATAAGTAACTTTGAAGTAATTCTGGATTTTTGTTCTTTCATTTATTTTTCTTATTCCCAATATGCATTTCCCCTTTTCTTTTCTTTTTCTTTCACCTTTTTTCACCCATTTTTTTTCTCCTTCTCTTTAGACCAGATGTCAAGATTCACTACTGAGCCTTATGACTAGATCATTCTACTTAGTGCTTTGCAGTGTGGTATGAAATGCATAACACACCTTTCTATATCCCAAACAGCTGCATAAAAGTAGATCCTCAAGCAGTGCCCTTTAGAAAGTTTAAGATAAAGGGTCCAAATGACTGTTCTTACCACAGCCTCTGTAGCCTGTGGTTTGTATAAAAGCTATCATGTTACTTACACTGGAAATTTCCCATTTTCTAATTAATTCCTACAAACTTCAGAAAGAGGTTCTATCTCTGACTAAAAATTGGTGTTGGCATTGTCAATGCTATACTTAAGTTGTAAAACTGAGCCCCTAAGGAAAAAAGTCACCACACTGCAAAATCCCTGATGGATTGTGCTTATTTTTTTAGGGAACAAATCTACTATTTTAGTCCTAAGTATGGACTAATCCAGGGACTCAGCAAGGTACCACAAGTGTGATGCAAAGAAATAAAAAGCAGGCAGCTTCTTAAAACTTGTCAAAAGGGCCCAAGACCCACCATGCAATTCCAAGGCTGGAGATTATTTTGACAGATTTCAAGAAGAGCATGGCAAGAATGAGAAAAAAAATATTTTTTCCCATCTTCCTGTTTCTGAACTAGCCATTTTTCTGACTGCTCTACAGAAAAATGTAGAGCCACTGATGCGGAAAGTGGCTAATGTGTAAATGCAGATAAATCTTAGCCATCCCACCCAGCTGACCTCTGCATAAAAAACAACCTCAGGGCACACCGGGCTTTCTGTGTTGGCACAAGATGACTTCCTTGACATGCACAGTGAGTCCACCTGAACTTTTTCCCTGCACACTCCATGCAGACTCACTCTGCATGTGACCAGTTTACTCTTGTCAGCCTTAGCCCACAGTATAGATCAGTCACTTGCTTTGAAAGAAGAGTTTCACATGCAGAATAAATTTCTAGGCTAACAGTGTTTTGGTCATCTTTTGTGGAAAATCTAGGATCAAGAGAGAGAGAGAGAAAGGGGCTGACAAGGAGAGCCACATCCTGAAAAGAGTCTGGCATATCCGTGAAATCAGCCAGCCTGAGAAAAATGATACCCATATCTCTGGGAGACAATAAGGGACAGCTCTACTACACACCCTGATACAGGCTCTGCTCACACTGGTTTTCCATCTGCTCTTCTGACAACAGCTATGAGGATAAATTTATCCTGATGAAATGACAGCCTTTTCATACTGGCAGGTATGCAATACTAAAGAATCCATACATTCATGCTCTCTGAATTAGCTATTTATTTAAGTCCTTATTGTTGCTCTACCAAGCAATGCCTGGCAAATCCATAATATAATTATTTTATGAGAGTAATGGAAGTACATTTTTAAAAGACTAACATACCACAGTTTTTGAATTTCATTACACATCAGAAGTGTAATGATTTTTAATATACTTATAAAATGTAAGGCTTCCAAGAATAGTATTCTTCAAATGGCAGGGTTGAAGTGAAGACAGAAGGTCTTCTATATATTGTGAATATGAATGAGCCTGTAACCTTAACTTATTTTAACTGCTGTTGTCCTTTGACAACAACCCAGAAAGAAATCTGGGTTTTACTGAAAATGAGATAAGGAATTCTTTTGAAAAAGCATCTTTATGCTGAATTTGCAGAAGTTAAAACCTGTGATCTTGAACCATATTAACTAATGAAAGATTATCCTAAATGAATAAAAGAACCTTATTTCTTATGCGCTCCTTTTTGGATGCCATGTCATCACACTTGTCCTCTTTACCCAGTTTGTCTACTGCCTCCACAGTGAAGCTGTAGTTGTAGTTCCCTTTCTTTCCTCTGTCTTGGTTGTATCCTTTCCCCCATTTCAGCTCTTCTTCATTCCTTCTCATAAACTTGTCAAACTCATAGTGAGTTCTATGCTTTCTGCCATCATCCAATCGATACCTTTGTCTTTCAGGTTCTTTTTCTCGAAATCTTCTCTCCAAATCTCTTTGCTCTTTGTCACTATCATTTTGTGACCTATGAGTATGTACGAAAAGAAAGAAAATCCAAGCAATTAACAGTAAAAAGGAGCTACAGAAAGATACAAGTCAAACCTTTCCTTTGACTTCAGAAGTGTGTAGATAAATTATATAGCAAGGTTGTTTTCTTCTCATTACAAAGGGTTAAATGCTGAATGTCTTACCCATGTATGTCCACCCATGCATTTGGTTCAGAATAGCAGACAAAGCTTTACCAAGCTTTTGTGCAACTATTGTGGAAGGCCCATTCTTCACCTTCTATCCCTCTTTGAAATCCTATCAATAGTTCCCCAATACCCTTCATATAAACACATGCTGCACTATTAGCTCTTGTCGCCTGGCATTGAGGTGAGTCATGCATGGAAGTATTCCTTTGAACGGGAACATTCATGAGCTGAAGGAATTGTGCAGGTATCATGTATCAATTTGTAAATTTCATGTCTCTGCATAACAAAAATTATTTACTGATATCATAACTTGCAGAAGACATTTATGAAAATAAATACTTATGTTCCAGGCTTTTGTTTATTGTGCCTCCAAATAATTTAGCCTGCCTTTGCCTATTTTATTTCAGCAAAGACCATTACCTTACCACAACATGATACTTAATTTCTGCTATGCTGTAAATGGTTTATATTATAAAGACTATTGGCAATATTTTGCTGCCTGTCTGATAAAATTCTCAGCTCATATTCACTTTATTGTTCCAGTTCAGCAAATGGGTGTTTCTCTCATATGGCAAGACTGTAAATAATGAAGATCACAAAATAGACTGAACTTCAAAAGGAACAAATACAGGCAGTTTCTTTTCATTACATATGTATAAATACTTAAAACTGAAACAGCAAGTTACTTATGTTAGTCTCATATTTTGGGAAACTGCAGACAGAATCAGAGAGGATGGAGATTTTTTAATGGTCAAATAGTGATATGCCTCTCATTTATAATTATTTAATACAAATAAAAGTGTATCTATATATATAACTTTTCTTTTTCATATAACAGAAATGTGAAAATTGGTAGCATCTTTCATGAACTTGGGCATTAGTGGGGCTGCCAAAAGAGGGTCCCCATCTCAGGAAGCGCTGAAACTCAGAGCAGAACCTGAATGAGAGGTTAAGTTATTCAGCATTTCACAAGACTGAGCTAGAGTCAGCATAACACGTTCACCAAGTGGAAGCAACATCCGTCCCAGCTGTCACAGACACCTGAACCAACCACAGGTACACAGACCCTGTACCTGTAGCATGGATATATTAACATAAAATACTATATTAGCTAAGTAAGTTGCTTTGTTTCATGTTTAATATGCTATTCCAGAACCTAACTTCAAGTCCTAGCAAGGCTCAGGGCATGACCTTCCAAAAAGCCAGAAAGACCCTCTCAATTTGTTGCTGCAGTATTGCCTGATACTTGTCTCTTCCCTTGTCTGTTACTGTCGGGGAGGAAGTGCTGTGTCTGAAGGCAGGCAGGTGACAGGGATACAAACTCCTGTTCCAAGAGTAGTTAAAGTAGATTCCTAAAATTCAGTCACAGTGAACAGGCAGGCAAGAATGGAAATGGCAGGGTAAGCAATTTCAGAGTATAGGTAGAAGACAAAGTTACACAGTCCAAGAAAGCAGAAATGAATAGAAATAAAGGAAATTGAAGCACTTCTGTTTGATGCAGTTTCAAATCCGTATTTGACCACGTAACTTATGTACCTACTGAGATTTTGATTTGTGGTAGGAAGCTATTGCTACCAAGCCTTTGACATGGTTTCAAACAGGAAGTTCAGTCTCCTGCAGGTAGAGTTGGCAGTTACAGCTTATTACCAATTTCTGAGTCAGTGACAAAGTATTTCAACTTTAAATCTCAATCCAGCTGAAACAGCTCATAGCTTGCTACCCACCCACTAAAAATCAAGATGAAATCAGCACTTGGAAACACAAGGTAATGCTTATTGTACCTCTGCAGCCAAATGAATTCTGTTTTACATCAGCAAAATCTACATTAATGTCTTATTAAACTTAATGCATCAATAGCAAACAATGGTGTTACATGGCACCACCAAAAGGTGAATCCATAAAAAGCCAGAGAAGTAGTGGGATCAGCATCCCTGGAGGTACTTAAAAGACATGCAGACATGACACTTGAGGACACAGTGTATAATGGCAGCTTGGCAGTGCTGGGTTAACAGTTGGACTCAATGATCTTAAAGGTCCATTCCAACCTGAAACATTCTGTAAGTAGCAAACAACTTATTTGCCCCTGCAAGTGTTTCTGTTGAGCTTGTTCTGTTTCCTTTCTTGAAAACCATCAATAAAGAAGTTGCTGAATATTTTCAATTTCAGAGTTTCAGGATATGGAATTTTTCAGGAACATTCAGAACACACATTTTTCTTCGTTATTTATCTTGCATATCTTATGGGTAGATCCTGCTTGCAATGGGACTCATATGCCAAAGGACAAGAAAGAGAACCAACTGCTGAAAACACTTGTGAGATGAGTCATTTCCAGGCTACAGCAGTAATAGAACTGAGCTATGCCTTTTGTTCCTACCATTGCAAATGTAATACAAAAGGCATCAGGAGATAGAGACAGCCTACTGCATGTATCTATCATAAGGCTTTCATTCACACCTTCACTATTTTGCCATTGTCCCACTTACCTAAACATTTATAGGTTCATTGTAGCCAACCCACACATGAAGGAAAAATATGGCATTGTGGACAATTTAGTCTTTAACATGATTAATGGAAGGAAAGCCTTACCTGAGCTCTTGATGGGGAACAGGTGAAATAACAACAAACAAAATTACTTGAATTTTCATGCAGAAATCCTTCCAATCAGGGATTTCAAAGCATTTCACCAATAACAAATTGCATCCACTAATACTGCCACCAGGTCAGTAAATTGTTACGAAACACCTTTTACCAAAACAACAGGAAGAGATTTGTTCACACACAGAATGAAATTGCCTCTTTGGTGCCAGAACATCTTGTCAATGCACCACTTATATTTAAGCCTTGTGATGAAAGCATTTAAGATCTAAATTAAAGACTAAAAGATAAATATTACTTACTTTTCCTTAATTTCTTTTAGTGAACTCTCCAAAGATTTGGATTTTATACTCCCAGATCCAGGTGATTTATCCCATTTATTTTCCTCAGTGTCAGCTTCTTCACCTTTTTCTTTGTGCTTTTCACTGGCCAGTTCATCTCCTTTTTCAGGCTTCCTGAGAAGCTAAGAGATATTTGTTTATATTGTGATGTAAAATTATTCTTCTCTACTGTACAGACATTTTATACAGTAACCTGCTAAGACTGGAGATACCTTATTTACATGCTAGGAATGTATTTTACAAAGTACAAAATTTAAAGTTATTTTTAAAGAATGGCTTACATTTGCTAAGGAGTGACAGTCATTAACAGGCATTCAACTGCACTCTTTCAAATATGTGGAGAATACTGGAGAAAGCACTTACCTATTCTTCCCAGAGCACTTACCTACTCTTTTCTCCTGAGTTATAAATATAAAGACATTATTATGGTCTATGGTTTCTCAGAAATCATGTAACAGAGCTCAATGTCATTGCCCATAAAATAAGAAGTAGAACTTCTACAGTACTACAAAGAGAGCAGGATTAATACTTCACTCCTTGAAATATTATATATAAAATGTGAGTCACATGAATTGGGATAGACAGGCATGTAGAAGTAGGTGCTTAATACATGCTGACACAAATACAGATGAGGAAAAATTTCTGATATTAGCAGAAGAGAAATCATTACATTTTCGCCTTGAAGATTAGGATTTTCAAGAAGTCTGTTCCTTTCATAGCAACCCACAGAGGGTTTCAGCAGAGCATAGTATTACAGGCATAATCTTTATAGAAGGATCAACTGTCTCAAATTATTACCCTACCATATCAATTCTAGGCATAACACCTCAGTTTTTCCATTCCACCATTTTGTTTCTGAAATGAGCACAGATTAATCTTCTCCAATATATGGAACTTCTATAATGCTTGTCTCAGGTAGTATTTTCCTTTTCTTTCAGAGACAGAAATAGCTTTCAGGGTCATATCACCACAGATATATCATGAATACTGGGGCTTGTTGGACAAGCATTTTTAGGTAATATATTTTAAGGATTAAGTCCCTTTTCTTATGAACTTCTAGAGTATTTTTTTTTTTATGCCCAGATATGAAAAACTTGTAATTCAGCTTCAGAATTTACTATTTTTATACTTTTAGGTGAAGTAAACTGTTTTCCAAGAACAAACGAGGAAAGATGTCCACAGTTCTGTGGCTTCTCACCACTACTAAATCTGAGCCAAGTCTGTGTGTTCTTGCTTTATGCTACAGATTCTTATACCAAATTTCATCCTCAAAACAGCCTATAAAGCCTTTCCAGTAACAAAAAATTTGGTTCAGATGAACAGTTTTATCTATGTAATCTTACAGAAATAAGATGGTTTTATATGGCCTGAATCCATAGCACAAGATAAACTCTCCTAAGTGATGTCATTAAAATCTGTTCAGATTGCTGAAAGGCAGTGCAACCTGAAATTAGCATACAATTAAAATACATCAGTTCTGAGTATAAACAGAAATATGTGTCTCTGCATACATGGCCAATTGAAGATTTGCATGACAGAAAGTGTTAAAGCTATGTTTCACAGAAACACACAATCACAGAATATTCTGAGTTAGAAGAGACCCACAAGGATCATCAAGTCCAACTCTTAAGTGAATGGCACATATGGGGATCAAACTCACAATAATCTTCCAACAGGTTGGCACAGAACAATTTGGTTCTGTCAGGTAATGCTGGCACAGAATGCTGCAGAGTTGTATGAAGATGTCTGAGTTAACCTGCTCTAACTGCACCAGCACACCATGGTAGGTAAGGCCATCAGTCACACTTTCAAAGAACACTTTGTCAAAGCCCTACATTGGCTTTCCCTTCCAGTCAAAACTGGTTTGCTGTCTCCACACTGTGCTGTTGTACACTGAACAAACACTGAGATACCAAAGAACTTCTGGATAACTTCAAAAGAAGAATAATTTTTTTCACTGATCTCAGTTACCTTGATCCTTATTTCTTTTTCAGAAATCTTCTTTTGCTTCTCCACTTCTTTTCTTTTACGTCTTTCTTCTTCTCTGCGCTTCCTTTTCTCTTCCTCCCGCAAACGTTTCTTCTCCAATTCTCTCCGCCTTCGTTCTTCTCTTTTCTCTTCTCGTATTCTCTGAAGAGTTCAATAATGATTAATTGTAAATTGTCCAACAGAAAACCATATGAAACATAAAGGTGGAACTTCAGGCAAAAGTCTGAACGTACCTGCTTTTCTAATTTTCTATTTTTAATATATTCCAAAAGGGGTGTTGTTCTTCTAGCTAAAACACAAAAAATTTGTGATATAGTGTTCAACTCCTAAAATGCACTCATTTCTTTGCTTTAGTATTAACCCCCTTTTTCTAGCTTTATCTGAAAGGGAGCTAAGTCATTGATAAACCTATTTGTCTCATGTACTGTTGAAGGCATTCCCATCATTCTGCTTTAGAAACACTTAATTGATTTTTTGCTGTTAGCATTAGAAGCAACAGAAATATGCTGCACGATTATTTGATATTTAATTAAATATCATATCCTTTCAGTTCAAGAGAACGGCTTTTCTCTTTTGCTCAAGGAAAGGTTATTTTACCAAAAGAAAGAAATAAATGTGTTCAGAATATATTCCTACATTTTACTTTTGTACATCAAAACCTAGCTATATTGTTGTTCATATACAGCCCACATTACTGTAATCTCACATAGCACTTTTCAATCCCAGAAACATGAAGGAAACATTTTCAGTCTCATATAACATTTTGATTTACCTGACATTTAGTATTCACCTTTCCACGGGAAAACAGGAGGAATAACAGATAAGCAGTTTGTTCCAGGTTACATAGCAAAGTATTAGCAGATCCATTAAAACTGTGGCTTCCAAAATTGCTAATAAAAGGTCTCATCTACTGAATCACACAGCCATTCTTTTATTTCAGAGCTATCTCCATGCTCTGAAATCAAGTCACCTGCCTGAACCATCCCCAAATTCTACAAAAACTTGGAGAACATCATCAAATTCTTTACCATGTTCCTTATCAAATTCTTTATTCATGGCTGTCAGTACTGAATTCAGACTTCGATTCAGCCCATACTTACAGCTGTGAGTAGTTACAACAAATTTTGTCAGTTTTAGATATCCCAGAATAGAAAATGTTTACCACTTGAAATTGCTTTACAGTTATGTATCGGATTCTCCCTCAAACCACAGAAAAACATTCCCTATTGAAATGCATGACAAAATTTGAAAGAAAAGAAAGGAAAAAAAAAGTTAGAAAAGTCTTCAACAAAGAGAAATGACATGGCCAAAATCTAGACATAATTCATATCCCAAAAACATTTAATGTTTTTGCATTGAAAGTTGGATTATTCTGGGGGCAACACATTCATTAATAACAAAATTTTGTTACACAGTTATGAATGGGAAGGCTGATAGGATTCACTGTTTCTTTTTAGCAAGTATCAGTGGTAGGAATCAACAACCAATAAAGATTGTTGATTTGGTATTTTTCTCCCTCTATTCCTAGATTTTCCATGCCCCCCCCATCCTCCCAACCTACCCATCATTTTGGACAAGTTTTAGGTCCCCAGAGCCCCCTTCCAGTCCCTCAGATCTGAGTTTTGCCTCTCTCTCCTGCTCCTTAAGTTCCCCTGCCTGAGCAGTGGCTGTCTCTGGGCACTTTTACATGTTGAAAGAGATCACAAATTGTAACTGGAAGGTCTGGGGAAAGGATAAGCTGCACTGAGAGTTCAGAACTTGACCCTAGTAATGACTAAGACTGTAGTACAAGAGGTTTAATGAGAAATTATAACTTGAAATTCAAGGGAGAGAAGCAGTGTGTGATGAGTACTACCAAAAGATGAAGGGGGAAAAAAAAGTTTATCAGACTTGAATCTTACCCATCTTATTTATGGGCCTTACTGCAATACAAACCTAAGAGCACTTTCCTAAAATGTTTAAGAATAATTAAAAGAAAATAAATTACTAAATTAAGAGCTGTGTCAGCAAAACTTTACATTTTATCTTGCTGTCTACAAACAAACTAGAAGAAATTGCTGATCTTCATCTTGCTACAGAGAAAATCTCTTTCATATCTCTCTGTCACGTGGAAACTGATCAGCCAACGCATCTGGCATGATGCATAAAACATGTTGGTTTGCAGTAACTTTACATGGAGAAATTCTGAGCACGTGAGGCTCAATTCTGCCAGCAAAGTCTTGGGCACATCCTTCATTGACATCAGCGGGAGTAACACCTTTGAAACTGGACACACAGCTAAACCCTTACATAATTTTGCTATAAACATGCTACCTGCTGAAGAAATCTTTGGTTTTGTACTGATAGCAATGGCCACAGCTCTGAATGGCAGGAAAAATAAAGCAACTAGTTTGATATCCTCTGATTTAACAGAAATGAAACATTAAAACTCTTAAAGCTGCCTTCAGTTAATATTGTTACTCAGAAATCTGCAACTCTCAAGATTAATCATCTTCCCTGATGTAAGTTAATAAATCTGCTTGAAACTGTAAACTTTTTGCAAACTGCAAACTTATTAAAATTTTTTACTACCTTTACTCTGCTGTCAACCAGAGAACCATGGAAGATTGGGGGTAAATAAAAATTACTGGATGACTTCCCCATCTAAAGCAGCAACAAACGAGTTTTATTGATAACAGGGTTATCTAAATGCAAATTGTAACTGGAAGGTCTGGGGAATGGATAAGCTGCACTGAGAGTTCAGAACTTGACCCTAGTAATGACTAAGACTGTAGTACAAGAGGTTTAATGAGAAATTATAACTTGAAGTTCAAGGGAGAGAAGCAGTGTGTGATGAGTACTACCAAAAGAAGATGAAGGGGGAAAAAAAGTTTATCAAACTTGAATCTTACCCATCTTATTTATGGGCCTTACTGCAATACAAACCTAAGAGCACTTTCCTAAAATGTTTAAGAATAATTAAAAGAAAATAAATTACTAAATTAAGAGCTGTGTCAGCAAAACTTTACATTTTATCTTGCTGTCTACAAACAAACTAGAAGAAATTGCTGATCTTCATCTTGCTACAGAGAAAATCTCTTTCATATCTCTCTGTCACGTGGAAACTGATCAGCCAACGCATCTGGCATGATGCATAAAACATGTTGGTTTGCAGTAACTTTACATGGAGAAATTCTGAGCACGTGAGGCTCAATTCTGCCAGCAAAGTCTTGGGCACATCCTTCATTGACATCAGCGGGAGTAACACCTTTGAAACTGGACACACAGCTAAACCCTTACATAATTTTGCTATAAACATGCTACCTGCTGAAGAAATCTTTGGTTTTGTACTGATAGCAATGGCCACAGCTCTGAATGGCAGGAAAAATAAAGCAACTAGTTTGATATCCTCTGATTTAACAGAAATGAAACATTAAAACTCTTAAAGCTGCCCTCAGTTAATATTGTTACTCAGAAATCTGCAACTCTCAAGATTAATCATCTTCCCTGATGTAAGTTAATAAATCTGCTTGAAACTGTAAACTTTTTGCAAACTGCAAACTTATTAAAATTTTTTACTACCTTTACTCTGCTGTCAACCAGAGAACCATGGAAGATTGGGGGTAAATAAAAATTACTGGATGACTTCCCCATCTAAAGCAGCAACAAACGAGTTTTATTGATAACAGGGTTATCTAAATGTCCATTTCCATTTCCTCTAAATTATTAGAGTTTCAAGTCTCTCCAGTCAACACTTAAACAGCACTAACAAGTGACAGGAAAGAGGAAATGGCCTCAAGATGTAACTGAGCAGGTTTATACTGGATATTAAGAAAAATTTCTTCACAAAAGATTATCCAGCACTGGAACAGGCTGCCTGAGGAAATGGTGGAGTCACTGCCCCTGGAGGTATTTAAAAGATGTGCAGTTGTGGCACCTGGGGGCATGGTTTAGTGATGGACTTGGCACTGTTGAGTTAATGGTTGTACTTGATGTTCTTGAACAGCAAGTTTCCAACCTAAATGATTCTATGATTCTAATCAAAAGATGTGGCCACTTTTTCACTGTAAAGAAATAACAGCAAAGGTCAATTTTTTTTCCTACTCAATTGTCACACCTAAGGAAAGACTAACTATTCTGCACATCATCACTTGAAGATACACCAAAATTCCATGTCCTCCTGAAAACTGCATACTAGCACTGAAGATTTCAGTGCTCACCTTATTTAAAATTCCCCCCAGGACTGTGGAAGCCATGCTGCATGCATACAGAAAACAAGGTGTTGCCTTACTTTCAGAGCTTTTCCAGAATCTTGACCATGAGAACAGAGAGAGATCATTTCATGTTTTGTAATAAAAACAGCTAGTATCAGGGATCAATGGTTAAGTATTCAGCTATTTTGCATTTTAAAAATAAATCTTCCATCTACTAATACATCTGTAAGCATTCAGAATTACTAAGGGCCTATTTCTGAAGCCAGTGTGTGTGCATGCAAAAGTTGAAGTGAAACCAAGTGATTTCATGCATAGAGACTTTAAGGTTTACTGCTACTACTTGCCTGGAAAACAAATATTTAACTGGTAATATAAATCTGTTAGACTGATCAGGTCAGCTCTTGCAGGTAGTATCATAAAGATAAAAAGTAAGAAAAAGATAAAGATACTAAATATTCTCAATAATAAGAAAAATCAAGAAAACAGACCAATGAGTTCCCTTGTTTTGGCCTCAATCTCTCCCAAAAGAATCTCAGGATTGGCACAGATCTTGTCTTCATCAGTACAATAATTCTCTAAAAATTTCCTATATTCTGGATCTGTGAAGAAAAATTTTTGAGTTATGTTAACACTTCGCAATACCTAACAGAAATTTCCCACTGTGATGTCAAGAAAAGAGGCTTACCATCTTCAATGCTCCCAGCTTTGGCATCTTTCTTCTTCAGCTTCTTTTTTGAAATCTTCTGGAATGGAGCGAACTCAACCACTGCAGGATATTCCAAACCTTAAAAGAAATCAATCCTTAATATTTTTGAAGGGGAGAAACATTCCCTACCTTCAAGTAAGATCTTCCAAACTCTTGAACATGTGTTGGGAAGTCTTATGTGAAAATAAAAATAAATGTTTCTACAACTCGCTCCTAAACTTCTAATGAAAAGCTACATGTAGAGGTATTTAAAAATTTAAAAAAAGATCTTTTATTTGGATATGCTGACAAGACTGAAAATGAGGATGAATACTGTTGCAAAATAATTTTTTTGCAATATTATTTATAGCTCCCTTTTAATTATTCACAGAAATTGGTTAGAAAAATCTATCACAAAATCTCAGTCTGACAAGTGATTAAGTACTATTGGGAAATCAATCTGGAACTGTTGAGTTGCTTTTCTAAGCCTTTGTTGCCTAAAAGCCTAAAAAATAAGTAAATGCCAGGTAATATGCAATAAAACAACAAAGCATCTCCTTTCAGAACCACAACTGTACAACTCAGCACACAGAATTGTGTGTAACTTCTCTGTTTACGATGGACTGTGCAACTCCTGCCTGTGATTTTACTGGCAGGGATTCTTTGCTTTGAGCTGGCTTCTTCTGCGCACTGGAGTCAGAACCGTGTGTGGGTTTTGAACTGCACTTGGTTTCCATTTGCAGCAGGTTCAAGATTACACTTTGCTCATGTCCAAGGAAAACTTGTCTTCAGTCTGCTAGAACATTTGTTAACCCTATCGAACCCGCTAATCCTTGCTTCAGTTTTAGCCTCATAATGCAATGCTGCCACAAGCCTCACCAGAGAGCACTTCTGATCAAACCTTCTGCTCCTTAATTGCACAAGCAGTCATGTCAAACTGGCCAACTGTGTCCAAGCTCAGTTTTGCACAGTATTCTGGCTTCAGTGCAGATACTATTGCTGAATTTAGGCAAAGTCTGAGGAGAATCATTTAAAAAACTTATTTCTAGTTTTAAATCTTAAAACACACAGAATTTTAAATCTGGGAAATGCACACTGCTAGGAACGTGTTGTTCTTCATCCCTACAAAAACCATCTAAATCTGAGGGATATTAGAGGTAAATAAAACATCTCAGGTAGGAAATGCTGAAGAGGAATTCATTAGTTTGACAGCCTCTTCAGGGATCAGTTTCTAGTAAGAGTGGGCAGGACTACTTTTCACAGGTCCTCTGTAACACTGTGTATACGGATTAGAAAATGTCTCTATAAGAGAGCCACAAACCTATGTCTATTTTACATAACTTATGCAATTTTTTACAGAAGGTATGCCTGAATGAGGCAAGGAACTGCTAAAGTTCTGCTAAACCACTTATTGATGGCAGTTTCATACTCCTGCAGAAGATCTGGATTTACCCATATCTACATTACAGACTTTTTCTTTACTGTTGGGCAAACATTTGCAGACTGAACATTTTAAAACGGGCAATCAATTTTGCCATTCTTGTTCTCAGAATTCAACTCAAGATGTCTGCAAAAGCCCTAAAAATTCAACATCTACATGTCTTAAAAGTGGGCAACCAAAATGTTGAAGGTTTCCTTTTGCTTTTTCCAAACAGGAGTAAGTGGCAGAACTTTAGCTCAGAAAGGCTGAAGATGTAAAAATCTGTGCTCACAATGTGTTCAGTTACAATTGTAATGAATTGTGAAGCTTGCATAAGGTAATTTTCTTAGTATGATCTTGATAGTGCATTCCTGCAAAGTACAGGAATGCACATAAAGCATGCACACAACATAGACAAGCAAAACTGCATGGACAAATATACTTTGCACTTTATTACATTTTAAGTGATAAATGTTAACATATTTTTATGTAATTAACTGCATAGTGATGAAATAATGGCCTAACTAGGAAAAAGAGAGCAAATTGATGGTCTAAACTGGTATATGTATACATACACATTTAATATCTTACAAATAATCCAACCTTTATTATCAATGAAGACATAGCCATCAAAACGATCTCTAAAAAGAAGGATGTCCTCAGGATTTCTAAAGTTAATGTATGCTCTTGAGTAGAGATGAGGATAAAGGCTGCAACAAGAAATTTTATTTTATGTTACTTATTATTCTTTTCAGGGCTAGGGAAAGCATAAAACCAGAAGGACCACATCATAATTCTCATCTTCTTTGAAAAACTGCTATGTAAAGCAGTCTTTGCATTTACACATCTAATGATATATATGAAAAAAAGTAACAGAACATCAGAGTTCTATATGCAACTGTCAAATTTATTCTGAACTGACACAAATATTTCCAGTTTATTTTGTCCCCCTAAATTGCAGAGCATACATTTCCAACTGTGCAGGATCAAAACTTTAATATTTCCCTATTTAAGAGATATGAATAACAGCAGTACTTTTGAGGAACTTCTTGGGCATACTAAGAAAAGTCTTGTATCACTGAAAAGGAAAGGTTAAGTAAAAGACTGCAGTGAAGGGGCAGCTTCCAGGCTGTCACTGTATTTAAATAGATTTTCACCTTTAAGAAAGAATAAAAACTGTAATAGTTGGCAATATAATCCACTGAATTATACACAAATAAATAAATAAATTCCATCAGACATCCATGTGTTATCAATGTACATGCAATGTCTAGTTGTGCCTAACAGTTGCTGTGAAAATCCAAAGCATAGCAAAAGAAACAGGTACTTAATTCTGATTCTTCAAGAATGTACTGGCATAGACCCCACTCCATGGGTAAATATTTAATGTGCCTGATAAAAACCTCAGGGCTGGCACACCACAACCACAATGAGACTGAGGTAATTTAATGAATTAGAACCCATCAGCTAAGTTATTGTGAGTCATGGCATGTACATGCTTTAAACTCCTGCAACTGTTACATATGTCAGTTTGTATTAAACTGACTTAATGATGACTACATATTACATCAAGTTTCTGAACAAATCTTAACACAAGCCTACATCTTTAAAATACCTATAATTCCATAATTCCATTGTCACCTATGGCCTGTCTTCAGACCAACTCGCCACTGGCACCAGGAGACAATAAACACACACAACTGCAATTATATTTCAATCCCATAGCTCTTTCAAAATCAGATTTCACAATGAGTGAGAAAGAGCAAAAATATGGATTGGATCACAGGATCCATACATGTGGCAGCTCAAAGCAACATTGCTTCCGAGTAATTTTTTTTACATATGCACCCATATGGATTCCACTTACAGTGTTAGAAGGAGACCATAAAGAGCAGCGCTGTCAATCTCCAATGGTTTTGTACATCCACCAATTTTGTGTTTGATCCCGTAGCCAGAAGAAATGTTAAAAAACCAGAACGACCTAGAGGGTTTTTTTCATTTAGCTACTTTGTAAATACCACCTATGAAGTGTTTCTACAGCTTGAAGAAGACAAACTGTTTCCAAGGAAGAGAGGAAGAGCCATTTTATCCATATATACCCACATATTTTGACATTCTAGGATAAGAACAGCATCGTGTGAATGGTAAGTGGGTAACTACAAAAATGTCTGCTAGGGCATGCCAGGGCTGAGAGATGCTATAGCATGGCTGTAGAGGTATCACTAAGATGCAAAGCAAATATAAAAAGACAGATTTCTTCTCATTGATTTCAAAGAAGACAACATTTAACACTTTTCATAATTACACAGTTAAAAGATTTATTTTAAAATGTGTAAGTAAAGGAGGGAATTTTATTGTGGCAATCTATAGCTGTACTGGAAGCAATGTCTCTGTGCTGCCTAATGGCTACAACAGTAAGTCTCAGATAACTGGGGCTCTCATGAAGAAGGAAACTTCCTTTGTCACATCACCAGCACTATTCTTATCTTTCATGTGCTTTGAGGTTTAAATTAAACAAGGCCTGACATTAGACTGATATGACTGTACCCTTGAAGTGCTAAATAATCATCAGACAAAACCAGGAATCTTGAGGGACCGTTATTTTTCATTCCAGTTATTATTACCTGAGACTGAGGAACTAAGTTTTAGTCCCTAGTCTAAATAACTACTCCACTGTTCTTTCCATCTTCAGCTTTTGTAAAATACTAAAACTTTCTATAGATTAAAGACTGTTACTTGGACAAGGGTCCACTCCTACATTACTATGGCACTTCTCTGCCTCAGTGCACAGCAAGCAGCTTCGTCATACAGCTGGATTTTTTTTTCCTGTAGGAACTCAGAACCTTTATGGATAGACACATTGTGAACTGAACAGAACTGAAAATACAAAGGCTTGCTCCTTCCTTGTTTCCTTTAGCTGGTATATCAATGCCATCTCTTTCACTTTCTTTGGCAACATAATCTTTTCCTGGAACACAACATATTTTTCTAGCTTTTTCAGCTTAAACAGAGTGAATATATTTCAAAATGGAGAAACATCTGATATGGTTATTAAGCACTCATTAGTAAGAAAGAACTGAGTCTGTATAAACAGGACTGTGGAAAACAGATTTAGAATTTACCTTGCAAGTAAGGGATCTAGTGTTGTTGCTATACACTATTAACATCTTCAATAACTTCACACGCATCAGCAGAAACATACAACAATGTAAAAGCATGGTTGAGCACAGCAGGATATTGGTGTGCAGCACAATACCACAGCAGTGTCTGTCCATTACTGTAGCTATGTATTGGGGTAGAAGGTTGCAGAAACAAAGCTGTGACAACGCTTCTCTGATGGAGCTACTTCTACAAAAGAGTTGGTTCTCATATGCATGTGAGTTAACTATAAGAGTGCTGAGTGCACAAACCCCACACAATTGAGTGTTTCAAACCCTTGTCTTAGGCTTCTTACCCAGCAAAATGTACAGTGTGCCTAAAAAAGGTGAGTAAAATTAACATTCTAGGTGGGAAGCTAACTAAACCTAGCAAATTTAAAATACTTAGCTTGCATATATATCACTTTTATTCTAGGTTTCACATACATGACTTTCAGCAGCTACTCCTCACCCTGGATTGTCTTTACCTATCCATTCAGAACTCAACAGCATGGTCATGCAGCAAAGAATGCACAGGGCTTCACAGGCTACAGGCACTCTGAGGTTAACAACCCCTCCTAGGAAGAAACACTCTTGCTTGACTTTTGTACTTAGTATTTAGCAATTACTGGCTAAAATACTCTTTACTCTTCAGGATTTTGTCTTCCAGCTGAGTCCTACAGAAGTGAACTCTGTGTGTCTCCTCCTTTTTTCAAGTATCTAACACCACAGATTTCATTCAGGATCTGAAATTCAGTTTTATCATCCAAAAGCTGGTTCCATTTTGCCATATGTTTGCTGTCTATAATGCTGCTTTCCACACGTATAATGTTTTGGACAGATGCACTGCACATGTCAGCACTTGGAGCAATCTCTATGGAAATAACCCAGATGAGACTGAGTGTACACATTTATTCATTCCAACACACTGTTTCTTTTTTTGTTTTTCTGCTCTGCATTCAAGGGTATTCAATCTTTTAGGGTGCATTTATTTCTGTAACACTTAGTCTATCATCTTTTTAAGTCCTTATTTTTCTAGCAACTTTAATAACAAACACATTCTAAATGTTTACTTCTTCTACAAAGTACCTTTTAACACAATTGTGTAAAAAGACTGATATACAGGAACACAATTTAAAATAGTTATTTACAGTCTAAACAGCAACATATTAACTATAAACCCAGCAATCTTATCTTAGTAAAATACTTATCAACTCATGAATCATGGCGGGCATTTATAAAATATATACTTACATGTATATAGAGCTCTACAACTAAATTTTGGAGTCAAATAGCTCCTCCACCCATTCATACGGTAATTGATAACACATCATTGACATTGCCATGTCAAGCTAAAATCCCCTGGCCTTCATCCTTGTCATCTTTTGTGGTCATTTATGTTAGGGGTGAAACTGGCACAATTTCAAATAAGCTTAGTCTTTCCTTTTTACAGCTAAAAATGAGCAGTTTGCCTGGCAGAGAAGGCAGAAACACCAGAGCTGTGCCAATCAAAGCCTGTCAATTATTTCACCCAGAACACAGTAGTGGTGGTTCCCTTGAAGCACTAAGGGCACTGCCCCTTCAGTGCTGCTGTTCCCGGGTACAAACCTACATCCTACAGTGCTAATGCTGTTTAGCTACAATAATCCTGAGCACAATGTTGGGAAGAAGTTATGGAGGGAAAAGGAGGAGTGCTCTTTGGAAAAGCTTTATCACTCTGTGTGATACATGGCATGGCACTGACTATTTGAACTGTTTTCATGCAAGCAAGGCTTGTGCTCCGATTTCTTTCCTTTCATAAACTCAGAACACTGTCAACAATTCCTGGCACTCAGCACTCAATGCCAGCCCAGAGAGACTACCCAAACCCTGAAGGGCCAGAGATCAATCACTTTAGAATAGGCTCAGAAACCTTTACTAGCAGACAAAAAGGAAAGAGCATCTGGAAAACATAGTTCATATTTGAAGTCTGAGTACACAACAGTCTATCAAGAAGGCAGAGTCTTTATTATCATCTATAAACAGTGTTTTGTTAGCATTTTGATGTCAATATGCAAGAGAAAATAAATGTAATGCAGTGAATCAGATGAGTCTGAAAAAGAAACGAAACACAAGTCACTTTCTGAAATGATTTTACTGAAATGGATGTAACTGAAAAACTGAAAATTACATTAATCACACGAAATTTGAAAAAGTTTTATAGCTTGCCTATAACACAGCATTGTAAACTTATAGATAACACAAAGATATTATAAAGATTACAAAAACAGAGAAACTGGAGCTGATACACATATCTTTGTTTTGTCCTCTAGGATGAATTATCTTGGAAATAAAAATGTAGAAACAGCTACAGTAAGACCTCTCTAGTGCCCTTATCAACAGCAACTAATAGAGAATGCCAGGAGAAAATTTATTAAAAAGGGGAAAAAGTATAAATACTTCACTCAGTTCATAACTGCAAGTATCTGCAGCCTAGGGACTTTGTAACACCAAACTTGTAGCTTATGTTTAATAGGTTTTCATAGATAAATATCCGTCTGAGTATTTGTCTCACTGCTCCTGACCCATTTCTATGTCTGAGTATTTGTCTAACTGCTCCTGACCCATTTCTAACATTCATCATTCGTGGCATGAATTTCTGACAAGCTGTAAAATCTGAATGAGCTTATAGAGACTTCTGTGAAGTAGTAACACAGGATGTGGTCAAACTGGGATGTTACAGCTCTCAAGGAAACTTGTCTGCTTCTGCATCAAAGCATCTCTATGCCCCTTTCCAATAGATCCTCTTCACTGAGTAGCTTCTTCAAATCCTTCTCATTGGGTGACATGACATTTCTTTTCATCTTCACATGTTTTTGTTATCACTGAATTCTCTGGATTGCTTGCCACCTACGCACATGGTACAGGATCTAGAAAAAAGCTATTCAGTGAAAGACAGAAAACATGCTAACCTTGTCCTGTAGCTTTTCCTGTTAGCTGGGATGACATGAAGACACATGCACAAAGTTTGCTGAAATCTGGTGAACTGTCCATAACATGACAGACTATGGGAATATAATGCCTTATACTCAAAAAGTATTCTCTTCTGGGTAAGAGAAGACTGAGATTAACCTTGATTAAACTTTTACTTTCTGGAAGTTTATTGTATATTTCTCAGTGGGTAATGTAAAGAGATGACTCAGAAAAAGATATACACAGGTATGTGTCAGCATTTGAACAAAGGGGACGAAAGAGACAAGGTGATCTTGAGCCAGTCAAAAAACAAATAATCAGTCAAACCAACAGGGCAGAATGGCAGTGAAATGCCCATGTAAGCTGTGTAGTTTGCTGAAAGAAGCTGTAGCCATACAAACCTGGTAAAGATAAACCCATTCCAAAAAAACCCATCTTGTGTCTGAAAACACATTTTTTGAAAAGCAGGATGAAGAAAAACGGAGCGAGCACAAACACTTCATGCTGAAAAATTCAAACTTGAATGAATTTTTAAAAAATTAGTTTAGATTTGTGAAGGCAGAAGAGAATAACATTACAAATAACAGTGCGAGAGAAAAAACAGTATCTTTCATTGGTAACCTGCCATAGATGCAATTAAACAAGTGAACAGCAATATTTTTGGGTCATCCAAATTTCATCACATAGGAGAGAAAATTAAACTATATATGCAACTATTGTCAGTGCCTTCTTTTTTTCTAAAGAGCCTGACTCCCTAAATTCTTACACAAACTTTTCTGGAAAATTAAAATCAGAATTTTTTAAAACTGTTAATTGGCATTGTGCATCTAAACACAGTGAGAACTGACACTCTTCTTCAGAGAATTTTTGGTTTGCCTTTGGTATTTTCCTCTTATCAAATGAACAGCTGGGACAAAAGCCTTAAGGAGGCCCATTTGGAAACAGAGATGACAAAGTTCAGAAGAGCAATGTTAGGTACAAAGATTTTCCATCAGAGTAAGTTTTCCTCCTTCCTCACTCCACATCCTTTGTGGTTTTAACAGAAAAGCTGAAGCACCTACTATTTTGATGCTGCACTCATGTGCAACTACCTAGGTCAGAAATGGTCATAATTTCTCTAAATAAACATTTATTTTCTCTTGAATGTGAAACTGACTCTGAGAGAACCCCTAACTTCCAAATTTGGTCAGCAATAAAGAGTCGGCATCCCTCTAGAGTCAGTGGAAAGAATCTCGAGCCAGAGGAGGGGTGATTCATCACACACTAAAATATGACAAGATAGATCTTCAGTTCTTCAGAACACATGAAGCATACATGGTGTTTTGTTTCTCTTCTGGAAACTGATTTATTCAAAATTCATTTTACCACTGTGATATTGAGTAAATTATGTAACTATACCAGCAATTCTGATTTAATTTAAATCAACCAATATTTCTCCTTTTTAACTTTTGCATGAGACAAAAAGGAATAAAACTAGATTATTTACAAATTTGTATGAAGCACATAAAAATCCATGCAGGTAAACGGAGAAACTAAACTCAAATGGAACTCATTCTGTTATTGTTTGCCCCAGACTGAATCTTGCTCACAGCCAATTAGGCAGGCTGTTACAGTTCATCAATGAAGGTTAAAACAAACATCAAGGTTTCAAACTACATTATGACGTATTCATACAAAAAAAAAACAAAAACCAAAAACAAAACCCACTTTAAAATCTCCAGTGTAAAGGAAAAGAGCAGGAGGGCCATTGTCTCTGCATATGCAGCCAGCTTTCAGAAATATTTTAAGAAGTAAACTGAACTATTCAGAGACAGTGACTCAAAACAGTGCTCATTTGTGGAGATGCCAGGGTGCTTGGTTGAGATGGAGTAGGTGAACTTTCAGCTGTGTAATGGCTAAACCTCTGATCTGATAAGGCACAGGGTGAACGATGGGCTGTGAGTGAGATACCAGCCGGATCCTGTGGAGAGAACTGTGCCCCTTGTCATGCTAAGCTGCGCTTCCTTGCACAAACCACTGGGCTGTGGGGCTCCCCCTCCTCTCCCTGGGAAATGCCAGGGAACTCACGTGTGACCTGAGTGGGTTCATCCCTGCTGATGGGATGCAATGGGGCACAACTGACTCGACTGCGCTGCTGGCACTGCTGGCCCTGCCCCAAGAATCACAGCGTGTGCCTGAGAGCATTGGCCAAATGCTTCTTTAACTCTGTCAGGCTTAGTGCTGACTATTTTCCTGGAGAGCCTGTTCCAGCGCCCAACCACCCTCTGGGTGAAGAACCTTTTTCTACATGCAATCTAAACCTCCCCAGACACAGCTTTGTGCCATTCCTTCACATCCTGTCACTGGCTACCAGAGAGAAAGTATCAGTGCCTGCCCCTCCATTTTCCTTTGTGAGAAAGCTGTAAGAAGCTGCTATGAGGTCTTCCCTCAGCTGTGTCAGTTTTTCTTGTGATGACACTTTGTTTTTTCCATCGTACCTTATTCCTGGGGAGTCTTTCTGAGGGAGAAGTGCAAGAGCACCTGGCTGGAGGTCAGCCATCCAGAGTCAACCCACTACATCCAGCTAAACTGCCCAATAATAAAGAGCAGGAAACTGTGTAGAAACCTCTGGCTGAATGATGCCACCACACAAAGCAGTAAAATGGCAACCTGTTTTAATTTCTGAGCACTTTAATATCTGAATTTAATTTTACTGAGCTCTGGGTTATAGTAATTTTCAATTCTTCAGTTTTCCAATTAAAAAAACCCCGGGAATAAATCAAATCTCACAGTACTGAAGGACTCACAGAATTGTCAGGGTTGGAAGGGATCTCTGGTCCAACCCCCCTGCCAAGGCAGGTCACCTAGAGCAGGTGTCACAGGAGCATGTCCAGGTGGGTTCTGAACGTCTCCAGCCAGACAGACTCTGTGACATCCCCAGACAGCCTGTTATACTCTGCAAGTATTATTTGAAAGGTGCTTGAATAAAGACGGAGAAATGTGCTCTTGCCCTTGTCAGAAGCTGCTTTGCTACAGCAATAGCCAGCCTTGACTTCACAATTAAAGGTGAAATGATTTCCAGCGCTGACGCTGGGGGTCTCCCAGTACTCCAGGGAATGAACACTCTCACTCTGCAGATGAAGAAATTCCCGTTACAAACACACGGACCTGCCGAGACCAGGCTCGGTCTGTCCCCTCACTGCAGCCTCCCTCCCACCCTCTCCCATCTCCCACCGGAGCCGCCCCCGCCCCGAGCCCGCGCCTCCTCACTTTGCTCAGCGCCGTTTTCTTCTCCTCCCGCTGTTTCCCCGGCGCCGGCTGAAGCGGCGGCGGCAGCGGGGACGGGTTCGGCGGAGCGTCCGTGTCGCGGCGCGGCGACTCCTGCAGCTGCGGGGCGTCCATGGGCCGCGAGTCGCGGCCGCCACCGCGGCCCGACCCCGGCCCCGGCCCCCGGCCCGAGCGCACCGAGCCGCCGCGCCCGCAGCCGGGTGGAAACCTCGCGAGAACGCCTGCAGGGCTGGCGGGATCTCGCGAGGCTGCCCCCGCCAGCCGTGGCGCGGGGCGGCGGAGGCTCCATTCCTGTCCTCGTCCCTGCTGGAATTCTGAAGGGCGCCCACTCTGCCGGTGCAAGGGGAACACACAGAAACGTGCCCATTTCCCTCCTCTCACGGCCTCGCCCTAAGCTCACGGGTGCCTTGTCACGCCGGCCTCAGAGCGGCTCGAGGGCGGGAAGAGCACAGACACCGCGGGGGTGCGTTATTCAGCCTTTGGATGCAGGGTAGCCAAATTCTGGGGAGAAAGCAGTGGGAAAAGGAGGAAAAAAGGCCATTAGCCGTTACTTGTGTGAGGCCAGGAGTCTTATGCCCTGGAAGGCTCTGTGATAATTAAGCAGTGCCTACACTGAGCCCCCGAGGCCACGCAGCAGGGAGAGCTCTGCCCAAGGGTGCTCCGGGCCTTCCTGCCCGGCTTCGTCAGGAACTGTGGTGACAGGACAAGGGAGAGGGCGTCCAAACTGAGACAGGGGAAATTTAGCCTAGATGTCAGCAGGAGACTTACTGTGAGGATGGTGAGGCACTGGAAGAGGTTGCCCAGGGAGATTGTGGACGCCCATCCCTGGCAGTGGTCAAAGGTGGGTTTGGGCCTTAAGGAAGCTGGCAGAGAGGTATCCCTGCACGTGGCAGCAGGGTTGGGACTGCAAGGTCTTTAAGGTCCTTTCCAACCCACACCATTCTATGATTCCATGATTATTCTAAGTACTGACCCATCAATCAGAGCAAGTTTTTTAGTCCTAGATTATAATCAACGAATTTTGCAATAATCTAGAGCCAAATAGTTTCTTGAAATTCCTATGTGAGTTGGAATATCTTGGACTAAATCTCCTAGAATTGGTGGCAGAGCTACAGCAAGCTCCAATGTAAGGACATGCCACACATTTAAGGACAGACTTGTCTGGAGCTATGGAAATTAGACACAAGGAGCAAAAATGCCTGCAATTTAATCAGAATACACAGGGTCATTGCAAATCTTCAGATCCTGCTGCATTGATAGTCCTCAAACAGCAGTCCAAAACATGAAGGAAATACATGATCTGATGTGGAATACTAAAAGTAGGTGGCATTGGCTGCGAAAACTGAAATCACAGAATACACTGAGTTGGAAGCACCCACAAGGACCACTGAGTCAACTCTTAAGTGAATGGCCCACATGGGGTTTAAACTTGCAACAGTGGCATTATTAGTACCAGGCTCTGATCAACTGAGCTAACACATTATTTGTTTTCAAATCTTTTAGGCAGCAGTACCTATGAAGAAACTTTTGGAGCCATTTGCAGCACAAATACCTTGTGGGTTTTCATATCTGCTCTGAAAACTTTCAAGGCAACATTCAGATCTCCCGAGTCTGAGACAAAACTGATCCTTGGAAGAGAAAGATGAAGTTATGAGACAGAGTCAAAATGTCCCTTTTGGGGTATATTTATCAGCCACCCAACCTGACAGTCCTGGACTCCTATACTGAGCAGCCAGAGCCCAGTCAGGCAATGGTAATGGCTTGCAGTACGAATCAAGATCTGAGGTCAAGTCAGGCCAAAACTAATAACCAAAGTCCTCATGAGGACAAGGACAATACCCAATTTAACTAGAGCCAGGGTGAATGTCATAATACCCCAGAAAGGCACCAAGCACTCTCTAGTAAGAGCAGGACAGGTGATGGGAGGTGCAGAATACCACGGCAAGCAGGTGCTGCCAGTACAAAGGCAGGGAATTGGACAGAAGAAGAGGAGGTTAAAACATTGAAGAGAAGATAAATGGGGAGAGAAGAACTTCCCCTAAAGTCCTGTCTGAGACATACATCATGAACCAGCTCACAAGCTCTAACCCAACTTAGCTGCCTAAGAGGCCTGGAGCCAAGCCAAGCCATATCAAGAATTCATCCAACAGCCAAGAGTCCTGCACAATCTAGGACACTTTGCATACATTTCTTTCTGGGCAATTTTTAATACGAATAAACAAAGGTTAGCAATAGCCAGCCAAAAAACCTCCCAACAGATACCTGCCAAGGTGTCATGACAGGCTGCTGGTACAGCAGTGCCCATTCTCACTATTCCATCTGTTTCCTCCCACTCCAACCTCTCTGCCCCACTGACAACAAGTAACACAGCAGTGGCTTGCTCTCCTTGAACCTGAGAATTGATCAGATCTAGAAAATATTTTTAAATGCTGTTCCAGTTCCCTGATTTCATTCACAATGTAACCACACAAGGATTTGTATTACCACAGCTGAAGAAATGGCACAGTAGATTACTACAGGCAGGAATAACATAAACTGATGTTGCCATCACAGCCAACATAGCATCAGATTGTAACTGGGGAGTGCAGGAAAAAAAATGAATTATCAATATTTAAAACCATTTTGCCAATGAGAAAGATTAGTAACAGAGCAAAACAATGCAAGATTTATATCAATGTCTGACAATAGTCAAAAGGCCTGATTCTCCAGAATATTATTTTGCCACCTTTGTCTAGCAAGACACTGCCATGATGTCTTACTAGAAAACTAGATTGACATATGCTGGATTAAAAATAATGATATAGAGTAAAAGGAGTTTGGCCCCTTGAGAATCTATTTGCAATATCCTTCTGTGTGCAGCAACAAGTCTTTGCTGTCATATTATTCACGAGATAGTCTTGGTTACAATCATTCAGGATACATAAGCACAGATGTAAAAATAACTTTCAAAAGATCCTGTAAAGGAAGAGACTGGCCTAACAGAGCAGCTGTTGAGACACACTCATCATAGATTGGAATCTTCCAGAGTGTTCAGGAAAAATCCCCAGTTTACCTCAAAGAAGTCACCTGAACCACACCCCGATTACCAGGTTCCAAGTGAAAATAAAGCCCTTTGTATGAACTCTTTTTGTCAGTCACACTGAAGAAGAGAGACCTGACTCTGCGCAGGAGATGCATATGCCTCCTAAATTATTAGTTTTTCCTACACTCTGCTTGGATACTTTTTCACTTAAGACTCATGGCTCGTACTATGTTTTTCAGGAGAATGTGTAACTTTCAGTGAATTGTTGTAGAACTGGGAAGTAAAACATTTTTGTTCACCTTATTTTCTCATGTTTAAGAATATATGGGATTGCATTGAATTCTGTACTCAATGCAAAGGCCAATCTATATTTTCTAACATATGGAAGGGAAAAATTTGGGCATCTCCCGTTCCCTTTGTGGAGCCACAGCACAATTCCCATTGTCACTGGGACAGAACCAAACTTCTCTGGTTCTTCTACTGTGCTGGTCCTCATAGAAAGCAATGGGATGACCTGGATCCAACAGATTTCCACAGTGAGAGTGTGTGCAATTGCTGATAAAATACAGACTCCTCCCCAAGCTCTTCCTCCCTTGATACCCTTGAATTCCAAAGTGCAGTTGTGTCTAAAACTTGAATTCATCTTCAGTAATGCACAGGCATGTGCAAAATAGCCAATACTCTGGATCCAAACTATGTATATGACCTACATCAATGCAATGAGCTCTTCTTGATTCAGATGGGGATTCATGAGAGTGCTATGAGGAAAGGAATATTTATAAAGTAGGAACTATAAAACTCCTGGTGTTAAGTACATAGTAGTTTGAATTCATATAAAAAATAGCAAATTCATGAAAGTACAACACCATAACAAAAATGCTAAAACAAACATAGTACACTTAGACAAAATGAGCTCTCTACCAGTATTTATGGTCACGTACTATGGTCTGACATTGATGTTTCTAACATCATATCACTTTCATTCATTTCAATCTCAAATGTTTCTTCCAATGGGCGACTGGTATCTGTACTTTTCCTTTGATTTGATGTCTCTAATGTTACTATGCCACTTTCATCCAGAGTTTGTCTTTCTATGTCGAATTCTCTGAAATCCCAGGGAGGTGAAATTATGTTCTTTAATGTCTTCACTGTGTGTACATCAAAGTCATAACATCTTAATTTGTCTTTGATCTCTGTTCCTAGGAAAACAGACAAACCAGTAGTTTATTTCAAATGAATACTCCCAAAAATGTAATCTCAAAGAAACTATCATTCAGAAACTACTATAATTCTCTGCTTTCAGATCATCAAGGAGCTGCTGCTGCTTATAATGACTGAATCTGAATGAGTTATTCTGAAAAAATCCAGCAGCCTCCTTTCTCAAAAAAGCACAATACAAGAAGCACAACTCAGATTCAAAAGTGTGTTTTGAGAAGTAATTGCCAATTCCCTTCCCAATTCTCCAAGGGGCTTTTTTCTTGTTTAAGTTACACACAGCTTGGTTTGCATTAATGCATATCACATGGCTGCATGGTTCTTCCAGATGTGTTAAATGACTACATATGGAGCAAGACAATATTGAGAAGAAACATCTGTTACAATTGTGTGGAAAAATCTGCAGGAAAAGCACTACAGCACACAGATGGCTTTTACTTTTAAGGCTTCAGCCTTCTTAACATGCTTGACAAGACATCAACTGTGTTCACTACAGATAAGTCACTAAGCTCAATGAAGCAGAAATCTATTAAAAATATAGAAGTTCTTTTTGCAGGGAAAATCCTTTATAGAAAATTTAAACCCACGGCAATATAATGTATTACTGTTATGAAGCACTTTTTTTTGCCATATATAAAGCTGTATTTTTGGAGTCACAAGAACCTATCCTGTCTCCACAGAGACAAGTTTTGACAAGGTGAAAATACCTTGCTCTACAACAACATTAGCATTAGTGCTCTGATTTCCTAACTCCCTACCTCTGTTGAATTTTTCTCCCATTCCCTTTGCGATCTAAGATGTCACAAATCAATATTTTCTATTAAAGAAGCCATCAACACCTTTAATGACAAAGTGTCTCCTTTCTTTATGCTGGTGAGAGTACTGTCATGATGCTCACAAAAACCAGTGGTCATCTGCAATTGCTGCTACATTCTGACTCACTTAGCCTTTAAAAAAACCAACCAAAAAAAACCCAAAGAAAGACACCCTCTACTTTGTGAGTTAATTATGTAGTGATAGGCAGTGCTTGATATAACACTCCTCTCAAAGGACTCAATGACTTCAAGAGACACTTAAGTTAGAGACTTACCAATATAGGCTTCAGAATCACCAATGTACATTTCTATGCAGTGTCCAAGCATTGTGACTGAAAATGTGTCATCCCGCCTGAGACCAAGGGCCTATTGAAAAAAAACAGTAAAAAGTATTTAGCATCAAATAAAAACATTTACATCATAAGTCTGCAATGGTTCAGTCTGTTGGTTTGTTTTTCCATGATGCTATCTGAGCACAGTCTTCACTGTAAAAGCAGAACATTGCACAACCAAAATGACACCATCCTATGAACTGGCTGAAGTAGTAAGCAAGGAAAACACAAAAACAAAACCGGAAATGAACATATATACAGACAGGAAATCATTCACATATGAGCCACAGCATATGCTGCTGTTTACTTACTGTAAAATTTTTAGGTTGGAAGTATTTACAATTATTTCAGATACACAGTATTTACAATTATTTCAGATACACGAGAAGCTTACATACATAAAATGTAAATTGCAATTCAAAGTTTGCTGAAGAGGCCATTTTTTACCTAACCAATAAAATATAGGAGATTTAAGAAAAAATTAAGATTATAAAATAAACACTCATTTGGAGGCTGGAAAAAAATGCTGGTTCTCTGTTCCAAACCCAAACCGGAGTGAAACAGTAAATAACAGAATCCGTGCCCGGCCCTTCAGCTGAAGGCAGTTACGTACCGTGTGGAAATAGTCAATGGCGCTTTCAAAATTGCCCATGAGGCTGTGTATGTAGCCAATGGCAGAGTAAGTAGAAGCATTCTGAGGGATTAACACCAGAGCCTGCCGATGGTATTCCAGTGCTTCTTCATACTTCCTGTTAGGGTTAAGTACAGGAGATCTATTAGTAAGGTTCATGGTGAAAGGTGTTTCTACAGTACCCTGTGGGTATTTTCCTTAGCAAAGTGGAACACAGTTGTGCCAGAACTTTAAAATTATTGCTTTGCACTCTGAACATAATTCTAAGAATGTACAAGAGTCATGGATATCGACAATTTTCTTCCTCAGTGTAATTGAAAAATCATTGTTCTCCTTATGTAGGAAAACAGCTGCTTACAGCTAGGTCCCATTTGGAGATCTTAGCTGTTTGATATGGTAAATTGCTTTAGATGTTTAATGCTGCTCATTGTAGCACTGGCTTTCTTTCTGCAGCTTTCATTTGCCTTCCCTCGGGAGAGAAGGAGCAGTATGAGACTAAATCACACATGATTCAAACTGAGAAAAGCTCTCTGGGCAGAAATCTCACAACCCTTAAGTGCTGCATACACTGGTACCTTCATCATTTTGCGACACGCTCTATCAGAAAAAGATGTTTACACATATCCATGATATCTGTCAAATAACAACCTGTCTTTGAAAATTGTATATTAATTACACTGACTATTGCATTTGTTATTTTATAAAACAAGGATTCAATGTAAACTACAGCATTACTCTGAGAAATTAAATTGCCTCAATTGACGTTCTAGTTCTACGTTGTTAAAAATAAAGATATATATCACGTGTTTATAAGAAATTTTACATCTAAAGTGATAATGAAATTATGCAATGAGCAACACATGAAATTGTTAGAGGGCATTAAGTAACAACTGAGGCAGAAAAATTATGCAACTATTTGCTTGCTGCACAAACCTTTCACATGATTTCAATTTCATTTTCGCTCATAGTATTTACACATATAGTTGACTGCCACTGTATTTTAATAGGCTGTTTTCAAATTTCAACCACATAATACTAGTGAGTAGACATATAGCCAATAAGTTTTTCATAATAGCCATATTATGTATTACAGACACTACTAAATTAGTTATTACAGAGTTTTTTAAGATGTCAAAGCATATGTACAGTTGCATATATTCTCAACTTGATTTTCTTGGAAGATGGTTTACAAGAATGCAAAAATATTTTAGCTTTGATTTCTGAACCTGAGAAATATTAGAAGTTGTACAAAGCATGAAGTAAGCAGTTAGTTAAACTACTGTAGAAATTTTAAAAAGACAAAAGTAATTATAAACAAAACAAGTATTTGAAAAAATCCTGCAATTATACTCATGAACAGATTTCAGAAGCAGTGCCTTTTGTTTGATCTTGGCACAAGGAGTAACTGTTATACGTCCTTATTTCATAATGAAAATGAGGACTAATTGGCAATTAAAGCACAAAGCAATTACTACCAAAGCCAAAGCAGAAGTACAGCTTTCATCTACCATAATCACATTCTCATTAGCAGCTTTGAAACAAAAATTACAGTGTACACCAATTGAGCAATTAAAACCACTAAAAATATATTTTTTTTTAAATTGCATTGATTGAACAAAAGAAATGACTGGCTAAAGTCAGATTAAGGTAATTAATGAGAAAATGTCTCTATGTTAAAACTGTTAACACTTGTGTATATATATGCTTTGCACTTTTCTATTCATTGAATGGAAACATGAAATGAAATATTAGATAGTTTTGCTCTAAAAACATAAAGTAAGACTCACTTGCTGTGTTATAATGCCACTGAATATTTCACTTCAGTAAAAAAAAGTAAGTGCTTATCCAAGCAATTAATTGGCATAAACCTACCTTTATGTTGATTATGTATTTATATAATAATTAGTGAACATATTTCAGTATTTGAGGACTGGGACAGTGGAGAGTTAAAATTCACACCCATACAAGCATCTAAAAGCCTACAACTAATTCTCTAATAAAAATCAATAGTTAAAGAAAAGCTTTTACATAAAGTACTTTAACTTTTGTGTAATAAACAGGATATAAGGGTTGATTAATAGAGTTATATTCACAAGCTGATTTAGAGAATCTTGTTCTTACAGGGTAATTCTACACTGCTCTCATGTGGTACACAATCTTGATATAAAGGAGAGAGAAAACACATTTGTGCAGCATTATAGAGAAATGGAGCTCCAGTACTCTCTGCTTACTTGAGTTTTCTGCAGACATGTCCTAAGTTGTTCAATAAAGGCTCCCACTTATCAACTGTTACCTGCAAAATAATGCAACAATTCAAGTAACTGCAGCTTCCTAGACTGTAACTAAATTTTGTCTACTTTAAAAACAAAACATACAAATGAATAGGAAATTTTGTTTATGAACAAGAAAAATACCACAAGCATTTTAAACTCTTAACAAAACACACAAGCCGAAAACATTTATATAACAATGATTTTTTTCTATTTTTTACATTCCCAAACCTAATAATATTTCTTTAAAGGGCCAGTGTTATTAAAACTTGATGCAAACTAAACAAAACTTGTTTTCTACTTAACTAGAAAAAGTCAGGTCAAGTCTCAGCCTAGGAGCACTGAAGGCAGAGTTTAAAAAAAAAATTTATACTGTATTACTTTTATCTCAAAAAAAAGCACAACATGTTTTGTCACAAGCTATTGCAGAATTTCCTGGAGTTTTACAAATTTATGATCTTGCATGTTACTAGAATAAATACCTCATTTCCAATAGCTTTGATTTTCTCCAGTGCATCAAGGAACCACTTTTCTGCAGTTTTCCAGCTAAGGATTGAAGGAGTGGGGGGACAGAAAAGTAAATTAGTGAAGAGTTTTCATTAGCAGTATGAGAAAATTGTATTCAAGTAAGATTTCTATGACACTATTTCATCATATGAGTGAAATTAGATATAAAACCCAGTAATTTACATTTGGCTATATTTTGCATTGTTGTCCTAAGAGCTAACAAGACAAAACTAAAAAAAAAATCAGAATCAAACAAAAAATATTGGCTAAATAATTCTTATATAGGTTAGGTTTTTTTTTCCCCCAGAATGTATTTGGAATCTCCTGAGCTGACAAGATATATTGCTGTACAAAATTTTATAGTATGTGTGCAGATAGATGCCTTTTCAGGCTTCAACTACACAACGACAGGCACATGAAAGATAGCATCAATCTCTGGATGTTCCTCGAGCATTAAATTCTGTTCTTGTTCAATCTTACACAAGGAAGAACAATGTAGAAAGCAAGGGTTTAAGGTGAACACCATTTAAACTATTACCAAAAGACACTATAGCTTAATAGAAGAACTTCAGATACTTTAGATATATTGACACATTACAATTAAGAATAATCCATGTTAAAGATAGTATTTTATCATATTTTGCAAGCTTACTCTCCATTTTGAAATGCTACCACTCCAACTTCGTGCATAACAAAAGGATCTTCAGGTGCAATGCTTAAAGCTTGGCTGAAAAACCGTTCAGCCAACTTGGAGTTGTTGGTCAAACCATATTCCAGTCCAATATAGAGCATCGGCAAATGACACCTAAAAACCATAACACAAAGTACGTGTTTGTTTCTGTGTGCTTGTCAAGAATGGAGTCACTAACTATAATGACATGCCAACTGTTTGGATATGTTTATGTATATCCAAGTAAAAGCTGATTTAAATGGACTACTAAGGGGAAGTTTAAAAGACTTTACATCTCTGTTTAAGAAGAGACTGAACTCCAACAGGTAATTGTAACCTGCTCTGCAATCACATGTATTTTCTCAGCACTTTAGTTCTGATGGCTTTTTCCCCTAATTTCATTCATACATTTAATTTACAAATAGAATGTGGAAGAAGTAATTGATAAAAGAATTACATTTACCAGTAACCACAATCAAGTACAATAGTTTTATATGCAACATGACACGATTAGTTCATGACTCATTTTACAACCCACTCCCACAGCATGAAAGAGCTGTTCAAGCTATTACTATACAGCAATTGATGAGCTGGTATGACAACCATGATTCACAAATTTCAGAAGGTGTTCAGGTAGTACTTGACTTTAGAACTTATAAAATTAGAACAATAATCACAAATAATGCAGTTAAAAGTAGATGGTTAAATTATTGAGGATTTTTTCCTCCCTTGTTCTCTACCACATAATCACTGCAAATGCCTGGCTACTGTTTAAAGGGATATAAGTCAATATTCTGCACTACTTATGGATTAATTTGAATCTTCCCAAATATGATGTTTGTACAGACCCTTTCATGAGCTGTGCAGCTGTGAAGTATGCAGCCATTGCTTGGTCATGCTCACTCTCCACTGCGAATGAATGTCCATATGCTATCCATGCAGGGCCATAGGTTCGCTCCAGTGTAGTAGCTTTGCTAAAAACAAGAGCAAGTCACAAGCAAAAACATCTGAAATTAAATTTCATCTGCTTCAGATGACTACTCAGATAGTAATGCTATGCCACATAGTTAGGTATCTAGTGAGATAATTGTAATGACCAGTGGTAAACGAAGTCCATTTAAAAAGTTCAAACTATTTCTCACTTAGAAGTATCACACATTCTTGTGAATTGATTTTATTATTTCTGCTACTGTTCACAGACAGGAGGAATTATTTGATATTACTGAACATAAACAATTATATAGTAGGAGAATTTAATAAAATACAGGAAACACTAGTAGTGACTCAAAACTCATTGCAAAATCCTAGCTACACATTTTGAAATAAATATATTCTATAAAATCCAAGTTTAAGAAGCAGGATATGAATATATCAAATGAACATCTAAGTTGAAATTTTGCCATCTAATTGTGCTAGCTTTGAAGAAGGTGAGCATTTGTCACATCACAGGCCATGCATCAGGGAAGAATACAAAATGTCACTCAAGTCTTGAGCTGAAAACTGCAACCTGAGCATCAAGACATCAACCTAGAGACTTTACAGAAAGGTGGACTTGACAGGAACATTAGAAAGCTCTGTAGATTACTTTCTGAATTTGAAGGCAAGGACATTCATAACTAAACAGCTCAGAACAAGTGTGCCCAGTCTTTTCTTAAAAATTTCTGACACGGAAGTAATACATGTTCCATATGTATTCTATAATATTGCTTAACTATCCTTAAAAACTTACTTTTTTCCTAACATATAATCTAAATTTTGTCTGCCACAGTTAAACTCATTATTTCTTACGACAGATCCTAGAGAATGGTTTGTTCTCTGTCTTCTGAGACAAAACTTCAGGTATTCAAAGATCTGTATCTTGCCACCCATGACAGCAACAAAAGATATGTGGATATTTGACTGTGTCTTCAAGTTTCTTTTCTGGAAACCACTGTGCAGCCCACAGTCGCCCCTAGCCTTGTTAGCTCTACACTATCATTCTTCTCCAAGATATTTAAGCATCTTGTTACTATTTCACTTTCAGCAGACGTCTTTTCCCTTTTGACAGAACTACTCTGAATTTTGATGTTGGCTGTTTCTTGGTTTTTCTCTTCAACACATCTACAGATACTTTCTTGCTGTCTAGAGATGCTTGTACATTTAAAGACGTTTTTCAGCACCAAAACCAAATATATCACTCAGGACACAGCTACTTGAAGAATTTCACAGTGCTATTTGTAAGGAATTTAAATATTTTACTCATAATAACCAGGCATTTAAAAAGTATAAATGACTAACCCATCTTTACATATATTGTCTGTAAAGGTCTCAGGAAAAATTAGTCTTACAGGTTGTTTTATGCCTTCTCAGTTTGAGCTTACAGCACCAGGAAAAATGCCCTACTTCACAGCAATGTTCTGCTCCCCAGTGCTGGTATTCACTACACATACAGAACACCAACAGGAAACAGCACTGACCAAACCTAAGAAGCCCACTGTAGCTTGTGCACAGAAAGAACTGGACAGCCAAACGTCGGAATTTTCCATATAATTCTTTCCTTTCAGACATGAAACCTGAACCTGGGAGAATGCCTGAGTGTCCCTCAGCTGAGAACTGAGGCCTGATCACCGACAGCTGTAGTTAGCTCAGAAGCATGAGTGACTGCAGGGAACCTGCCCAGAACAGGAAGGTGGCTGCCTAGAGAGACACCACATAAGTCTTCCTCATTTTTAAAGTATCTCTATGGATGAGGTCTAAACTGCTATACCAAAAAAAGGTGGCAACGAAAGTATTTAACTAGTAACCAGTTTATTGAGGCTTCTCTTTATGAGCTTACAAACAATCATGAACAATAAATGTTTACTCAGCAAGTGAGCAACAGATTCACTAAGGAAAACAGAAAAAAAATTACCTGAGATATCTTCTAGCGTGCTCATTTTTGTGGCCAACCATGAGATAATAGCATCCTACTGCAAACCATGACACCTACACATTAAAATCAAAATAGAATATTATTAGATACATCACACTTCACACAGTGAAGAGAGGAAGACATAATAATTAGAGAACTTAGGAACATTTTCACTGAAATCACAGCCAGCTCTTCAAATTATTTGGTGTTACAGAAAGTTGGAACTGCTGGCATGTACCTTTCTAACTGGGGTTTACTCAGCCTCATAAAGAGAGCTAAGTGGAAGCTTACTGCTGTCTTCAATTATTTAACAGTAAGGAATACAAGACAGAGCCAGATCTTTTCAGGGGTGCAATGATAGCACGGGAAACACTGGATACAAGTTGCAACACGGGAAATTAAGATCAAGTCAAAGAAAAACAATTTTTCCTGAAGGTGGATCAAACACTGTAAAAGGTTGCTCAGAGACATGTAGACATTTATTACTGTAGCATTTATTTTAAATTATTAATCAAAGTAAATAGCTTGCACTGAGTACTTTTTACAGGTACTTAATTTTACAAAAAGAACCTGGGCATAAAGGAATTACAATGCAGAGAAAATAAAAGGAGTGAACCATTTCTACAAGTTTCATTCAGAAACAGATTTTGAATTCGGTAGCTCTAACTAATACATTACAACTTTTATGTGCTTTCACCTAAAAAAGAAACTACCAGACAACAAAAACTTAGAACAACTTACAGGATTATTTGGGTACAAGTCCACCAGTTTGTGAGAAAGATAGAAAAGTTCTACATAGTGGGAAGAAACAAGAAAAGAAAATTAAAACATGCTAAAACACTTAGATGTCTCAAGTCTTTTAGCTTTCCATACAAAATATACAGAACATCTAACATTATTAATTTACAAGTGAACAAAATGTTTTCTTTTAGTTGTAATGCTTCCAATTGCCTCAAAATAGATTCAGTTTTGCAATTAGCTAAAGAAAACCCAACCAAAACAACCCATAAGTCTTCATAAGACACAAATAAGCAGCTCTACTTCCCACCCTTTAAGAATTCTGCAACAACACAGGTCATTACCATACATTACAATAAATGCCAGTAGTATTACACTTGAATGTACCTTGTCAAGGTAAAACACTATTCAACTTCCTACATCTAAAAGGTATAACATACTGGCTAGATCCATTTCAAAGTAGAGTCCTGTGCATTAATATGCTGAAAATAGGACAAAAGCAAATAAATTATTATATTCTTTGGAATAATTCCAAGTGATTACTTTTTTAGTAAAAATAATAATTCTAGTTACTGGAATAACTTACTACAGATTTTCTAATAGCAGCAGTAATCGGCTACAGGATAACAATTCTATTGCCTATGCAATTTCAAAGGAAATAGCATTAGGGCACATAAAGTTTTTATTTTTCCAGAGCACAGTGCTCTTAAACCAATGAGATTGTCCTGGAGCACTTTGTATCTCAGCTCAGAAAAAAAATAATATTACAACTGGCTTACAAAATATTAACTTCTGTACATAATGCTTCTCAAGGCAGATTTAGAAAAAAAAATCAGAGTACTGGCCCCATTTTCAGATGTACTTAACTGTAAAATAACTTTCACTAATCACTAAGAAGTACCAGCACACCTAATGACCTATTTGTGCACATATAATGCACCATCCCGAGGGACTGCACAGCATATGAGCTCCTTATCCTATTTTCCAATTGATTTAAAAAATATTCAAGCTACTCACTTGTTTTATATGCATTCTGGAATGAGAAAAGCCATCCCAGCTGCAAGTAAGGTATTACCGTAATTGCAATGAAAGTGTTGCATGATTATTAATTTGTTTGAACTAAAGAGAGGCCTTCACAACAGCAAAGGCAAGGAGAGTCTAGAATCGTTTCTATCACAGAATATCATGTCCACCTAAGCATACACAATTGCTGAAGACTACTTTCTAGTTTAATTTATTATATTTTATTGTTGAGCAAAAAAAGTGCAGCCAGATACTGTACAAAGATCACCTGGAAACAGAAATCACAATGACAGAGATGAGGCAGTGTAGCTCACAGGCCTCCTGCCTACATAGTCCAGTGGTTAAAAGACAGCTACACTCATGACCATGAACTCTTTGCACATCTACTTCCCCCTAACCCTGAATCCTGCTGTCAGCTGATACTCCTTTCTTTACCAGTTACTTTTTCTTGAAATGACAGGTTTCAAGAGGAGGAAAAATAGATGTAATCTTTCATACAGTATACAAGGGGGTTTCTCGGCATCTTTAATTATTTATTAAAATTGGGGCTTTACAGCCTTCTGTTGAGTTGTATTAAATGCTGGGTTCCTTACCATTTGCTTTGTTAAGCTCCACAAGTGTCCCTATATGTACAGGTAAACAATTTGCATGGAAGGGATCTTTTTCCATCACTCTAAAAAAAAAAACCACAAAAAAAATCCTGTAATCCACATTTCAAAAACTTTTATGAGTTAAAAGCAAACTGCTTGTATAGCATGCAATGTTCCAGTTAGTTATCACTTTAGGCATTAGAAAACTATTTGTGATTAAAGGACAACTATTAACAGCATAATAAAGGCTCTGCTCAGACCAAAAATACAACAGTTAATTTAGCTTAACGAAAGAGAGTAACAGAAAATTCTTTCAAGCTGAATATACATTTAAAAAATCAGAATAAAATGCTCTTTTGTTTTGCAGGTCACTTCAAATTTAACCAGCAGACAGCAAACAACATTTCTGTTCATCTTTTCCATACATTTGACAGCAACTTTCAAACAACAGTCCTCAACTTCCTGAGGTTAACACCAGGCAGTATGCCTTTGGAGTCACATTTAGCTCAGCTGTACAATTTGTTTCCTGTGGCGTTCAGGAACACATCCACGAATGCAGACCTACAGCAGCTGAGAAGCAAACCATGGCAGTGTTCTGAGCCTCTGACCCCAGCAGCAGCGCACGCCCGTAACAACCGATACATGATACTCGGCCATCAAAATTAGAAATAATGTGCTGCCTTTTAAATTAATAATATCTTTTGATCATTGTCAATAACATTGTAACTGCTATTGGCCAGAGAAATCAAACTTCTTAACTAACCACCTGATTCAAACCAGTTTATTTTGAAGGCCAAACAAGAAGTAGGTAGAGAGCACACAAAATTGCAGGTACCAGAATAAGGAAGAGGATGGATGAAGGGAAGTTCAGCACAATGCTGATTAAGCCAAGTTTTACCTTGGATACTTCTAGTATGTATTACAATTATATCATGTCTTGCCAGACACAAACTACACATTTTAAATACCTGAGACATATATAACACATGACATGTATATTGCAATACATATGAAATTGTTATGTATGTTTACCCACTGGACAACAGTATTTGCTAAGTCCAGGCAAAATTATTACACTCCACCATATGAGAAAAAAACCCGAAAGTTGCTTTGCACACTTACACTGAAGTAAGCTTATAACACATTTTGAAGTCACAGTTGTAATAATGCCTTTCTGCTAGGGATACTACCACATCCAGGTTTTCCTGAAGACCATCTACTGATTCAGGAATCAGTGTTTCACTGGGTTTATTATACTGAAAGACAAAAGAAACAACATTTGAAACAAAAACTAAACTAAAATCAGATGGTATAAGTATTAATATTTTCAGTCCTAAAAGAATATTTAAGAAGCTTTAAAGTCCTTAAAAGTTTTATTTTTAAACTGAAATCCATAAAACCTGTATTTGGTAAAATGCTTCTTTAAAATGTACTTAAAAGCTCATTTAGAACATGAAAGATGCTTGCCATAGTCAATATGTTTAGTGTAGGCTGTAGAAATTAAAACTGAGCAATATATATTTTTATTGCTCTTTATCACCTTATCTTGAGATAAGAATAGTCTGGAATGATGTTCTTATAGCCTAATATTTTCAGGTAACTGACATTTTGTCTATGTTATTAACATGCCTTTTCCCCACCTAGAAGTTTCCTTAATAAATAAATTTTCAAAAACATAAATCAGAATTTCAAGTTGTTACCACAGCAGAAAACAATTTACAGAAAACTGTTACACTGTTGCATAAAGTGAGATGTACTGCATCAAAAGTTTTAAAAATTACAAAGTCCATATTTATTTCCATGTTTAGAATAAATGGGATCCAAGAAAATTTACACCCAAAGTCAAGACTTTCAATGAATTCTCCAGATTTTTGGGACTTACCTTTTTCAATTTATTCTCAAATAAAAAGTGAAGCAATTCCTGTTCTTCTTCTGTACATTGTCTATTAAGAGGTAGAGATTCAAGGAGTTCTTTTTCTATAAGAGTTAAAAAACATTGAAATGGTCATATTACAGAAGAAACAGCATGGTCTAACATTTCAAGAACTTGGAGATACAAGGGATTTCATGATGGTCATCCCAACCACAAGGATTATTACAGCACAGATACACTGAAACAGATACTAGTACTAATTTTGGAAATTAAGGATTGATTAGTTCCTTCTACACTTTAAAAGAAAATGTAATAAAGATGAAATAACACACCATTATTTTTATTGACTCCACATGTCAAATGTTATCACTTAGAATACTCTATTAACTAATGCCTAGGCAAACGCCAGGAGGGTTTCATTGGTTCAAAGCCTGTGAAATTGAAAACACAGGACAAAACTTTGTTTGGGCTGGGCAGGGCAGAAGAGCTTCAGGAGCTAACAAGCAGGACATCTGGGTTACTGTGTTTCTTTCAACCCTTAGCACCTCAGGACTGAAAAATAAAAGTTCAAATGCAAATTTGTGCAAATTGTAATTTTCACTCATTTCACACATTTTCTATTCTTAACATTTTGGAGTCTGTTACTTGTTGTATTGCCTTAATTTTTATCTAGGAAAACACATCTTGAGAAAGCAGGTAAATTTTACTTGTGTTTCAGAAATACTTCTCTCTCCAGACCTTCTTGTGCTGTCAACATGTGGTGCGACGTTAAAAGATCAAATGCTTCAAAGCAGTAAACATCCAGCTTCAAGGCCTCTTTGTAGCTGTAAGTTGCCAGGGTTCTATTGTCCAAAGCATCATAGATCTTCCCTCGTAAAAGGCATATAGAGCTCTTGATCTGGTGGAAAAGCAGGATGGGAGGTCAAAGACTGAATCATTGTTTGCAATTTAGTTTTCAGCACAAATAAATGCGCTCCCTGGAAAGTAGAAAGTATTTCATATATGATAGAACCTGGTTTTCTAGTGCTGTCTTTAAATAAAAAGTTGTCTCTACTATCTCAAAGAAAAATCCAGAGATTTCTCTGTCAGGTTACCTACTGCCAAACAAACACATGCTCGAAATAAACAACAGGAGGACAGAGTTTATCTTTTCTAATTCTGGCATCCAGCTCTCTGATACTGAGTTGTAACTTAATTATACTAAATTCTCTTCATATCCAACATGGAGAAATTGCCCCTTCCAAAGGCAATATGCTTCTTTGCTGACCATTAAACCACACATATTTCATGCAAGACAAGAATGACCACAGTAGAGATGAAAAAGGCCAATCAATGGACTGAACTGTTCTGAACAGAAAAATATATCCTTGTTTTAAATCCAAAACATAGATATTCCACAAAAGAAAACAGTGAAAGCCCATAATTACCACTTGTGCTACAATGTTTATTAACTAACGTGTTCTTTCCAAATTTCCTTGACAGGTATTCAGTTCAGTCACAAGGCCACAAAAGTGTCAGCAAAAGAGAAAGTTAATTCATTACCCAACTCTATCATCAGACTAAACAATCCTTTAATCCCATTATACCAGCATTTAAAATCAGTTCACATCAGCAACGTAACCCACTTTGCTACTTCAGTCTTGCAGGGAAAATGCTGTCTTGTCAATCACCTACACTGTAATTTCAGCTAATAAATTTTAATTTGTACCTCTGAAACTAATGACTCTTCACAGACTCTTCAGCCTACACACCATACCAATCTCTTTAAACTGTCTCTACACAGATTTTTTTCATTGAGCTTCAAAAATTTCACCTTCACCTCACATAAATTTCACAAATGTGATCAAAGAATATCCCACTGAGAACAACACTTGAGTGATTATGAAGTATTTCATTAAAAATAACTGGAGAAGAGAGAAAAAAAACTTTCTTTTTATCTCAGAACCTGCTGCCCAATTGAAAGCAATGTTAGGATACATTACCAAGAAAGAGCTAAAAGACTGTAAAAACCAATACTAGCTCATGAAGTTCCTGCAAAGCGTCTGCAAATAATTTATAAGAAGTTGTTGAAAAGCACTGTTTATTTTATTTTTGCATACTCAGTTATAATGTACAGGCAAGCTAACACACAACATGTGGCTGAAAGAAGAACAATTCAGCATTTCTGAAAATTATGTTATCTGAAAAAGAAAGCTTTAATGCAGTTTCAGATTCATGCAGCTGTGAAATCACATTCTGACTTCACAGGTTTTTTTCCTACAAAAATATTTTTTTAAATAATGTCACTTACTGAGGACTGTGACATCTCCCAGTCTGTGGTAGAATCTTTCAACCCACTTTCATCCTTCAAGTACTTTTCAAAAAGTCGTTTGTTGATTGGCTCCTCCATATCAAGAATATCCAAGGCCTGCTGATGCTCTTTTGCAGCATACTAACCAAACATGTGCATGTAAAAAACAAGGTTTTGAAGAATTTGTACATAAAGCACCAATAAACACAGCATCATATTTCAAAAGCACAGGTTATAACAACTAGTGTTTATCAGCAGGTTTCTCATGCATGCATTTTCTTATTTGGCAACTTGTAATTTTATAATTGCAGCTAGTTCTTTTACTGGTCACTATAATATGCAAAAAATATGCAAAAATTATAAAATACACCATGTACAGAAAAATTTATTATTCAGAATTATGCTGTTAGAGAAACAGGTATGGTTCTAAAAATAGTTAACATAGGTTTTAATAAAATGCCATCATCTTATTCTATAAGCAGCACATTATTCTACTTCAAATTTCTGTATTTAATCTACCAATTGATTCAATTGTGTCTCTGAAAGCACTGCATTTTACCTTTTATGTATGACATCTTCTACAGAAGTACAAAGCTGCTAACTATAGTTTTACTACCATAAATCACATCTCCTCTGGTCAGATTATAACCAACCAAATAAAAGTGTAAATGTGAAGACATGAGACAAAAATGGCTCACATTCTTTGCCCACAAAATATTAGAGGAGTATTTTCTGGGGAAAAAGGCTCAGTTGGATTTCTTCCTGTTAGTGCCACAATGGATACTCCAGTGACCCAACTGAAAGTTAAAGAATGAAATCAACTGTCAGAAAATTTAAACCTGTTGTTTCAATCAACTTATATATCTACACTGCCTATGAAGTACCTAATCTTCCCAAGATGTGTCTTTTATTTAGTTTAGCTTGTTTCCAGTGGGGGTTAAAATGTGTACTCACATGACATCTGGCTGCAAGGTAGCGACATGCCTCATACAACTGAAAGAAAAGTTTCATACACATCAATTATAAAGAGAGAACGTGTTTGCTTACACTGCCCAAGTCCCTTTTGCTCTCTCCTTTTTCAGTGCTATGGCTTCTTCACCCCTTTCACCAACAAAAGTCCTTCCTGACCAAGACTGTAACACTTTCTCTACTACTAAATTCTCAAAGGATGCTTACTTGACTCGTCTTTACTACTCATTATCAGAGTTGAAGGAAAATTGAAACAGCTACATCTGAAATGACAATCCACTTTCCCATACCTGCTGCAGTTACATCCTCAGATCCGTTCTCTTTTCTGTGACCCTGTCTAGGGACAATGCTATAAACCTGACCAATTGAACACAGGGCCTTATAAACTAAATAATGCAGCTTTCTTAATTACTTTTCTCACCATGATGGTGAAGAAGTCACTGTGGTTAGCAGCAGAGCCTTAAAAGAGGAGTAACAATAGCCTGTCTTCGACTAAAATGACTTACCTTATCCAACTTCCGTGATCGAAGGGCGTGTGCTGCCCTGTGATACTGAGCTGTTAGGTAAAGACATTGAGCCAGCCAGTAGATATCCTGTGGTTCCTCTGAAGTAAAAGAACAAAGTGTAAAACATTGCTTTACAATGTAGCTTCAAACATTTTAATACAGAATGTTCACTTTTGCTTCACTAGAGAAGTATCTTCCCCCTACTCTAGCATCTGACTGAGTTACAAAAGTTTATTTATAAATATGTATAAAGTACTTACAGTATCTATCAGTGAGAGATTAAAATGAAAAGATAATCAGATTCAACTTTAAAGACCTCAGACGGTGCACTGGACAGTGAATACAAAGAATGTCATAATCGAGATGTGTCATGAGAAGGAGACAACAATTGACACAGATTTAAAAAGCAGCAGTTGCAGGTTACCCTAGTCTTGGAAATAGGGCCGAAAAAAACAACCCATAAATGTCTCTCTCAATAAAAAGATCAGTAGGAATCTAACAACAGTGCAAGCACTAGACTTCCATAGCTTGGAGTTGCAATTTCAGAAGCAGGGCAACCCTGAGTCCTGGGGGAAACCACCATGGTCTGTTGTTGCTCTTGTTTTTTTGTTTCTTAAGGAAAGCAAACCTTAAGGTTTGTTCAAACATGAATTGTAACACAAAGTTCAAAAGGCAAGGAAGATGAGCTCTGCTCTATTTAAGAGAATGGCATTCCAAAGATCACAAAAATGCACCTAAACCAAACTCAAAACATCAATATTTGGCCACACAGCACTAAAACCCCACCAAAACACTCTACTATCAGTAAGAAGTTAATAACATACAATATAAAAAGTGACCACTTACCATGAGAGAGTGAAGCTACTTTGTCAGCCCAAAACAGGGCACTTTGATACTGTTGCTGTAAAAGCATGATAGAAATAATTAGCATTCCTTTGGGGTTGGCTTTTCTGAGTAATTTTGAAATACATTGTACATCAGTCAGATCTAATATCTTGTGCCTGTAGTCTCTAATGAATGGTGATGCACATTTCAGATCTTTGTAACTTAAGCAAATAGTTCAAAAGGGCCAATACTACAGGTATCTTTGACCAAAAGTTATGTGCTCTGTAAGTATGGCAATAGGTCATTGGTTGAATTGCCAGCACTGGAAAAGTAGCAAGAATGCCCATCTCCAGTTTAAAAAAAAAAAAAAGCTACATTTTAGAAAAAAGAGAATACTATCTATAAAAAAAGGGCACCAAAATTACTTCAGGTAACTTCAGCAGCACCATCTCTGATCGAGAAATGTTCATTCTCCACTCAAGATGCTTCAACTTCACATAAATCCATAGTGCCTGCATGCATTTCACTTTATTCTTGGATACACATTTTCACTCTTGAGACTCCAGTTTGGCAAAAGTAAGTGAAATAGAAAAGAGTGGTGGCAACCAGAGATAAGACAGAAGCAGAATTTGCAGGCATATCCCACTAACCCAGCTAAAGTTGCCACCAGACTTGGGGTGCCAGGCAAAATCTCACAGAACTGGCTGGGGTTATCGCCTGAGAAGATCACCAGGCACTCTTGCTGTTCCTTTTTCTCCCAGTCCATGCAATGAACCCAAATATGATTCCCAGGATATGCTAGACACTTAACAAATACCCTACCATTGCAAGGATTTGTAACACTTTACAAGAGCATGAAGCAAGAGGACAAGGGGGAACGGATTAAAACTGAAAAAGAGAGTAGGTTTAGATGTTAGGAAGGAGTTCTTTGCTGTGAGGGTGGTGAGGCAATGGAACAGGTTGCTCTGATAAACTGTGGATGCCCCATCCCTGCAAGTGTTCAAGGCCAGGCTGGATGAGGCTCTGAGCAGTGGAAGGTGTCCCTGCCCCTGGCAGGGGGCTGGAACCAGATGGTCTGTATGGTCCCTTTCAGCCCAAAACACTCTGCAGTTCTCTGAAACTGAGCAAGCCTTGATGGCTTCTCTCCTCTCCTGCACCATTGCAGTTGTGGAGTCTGTTCAGAACCTCAGAGACTGGTTTAGGCTTTTGGAGTACAGGTCTGGCAGTCTGTTCTGAAATGCACACACTGATGGTATCCCAGTCCTCAAAAAGCACTACACCACCTAAGTGGTCTCTTCTATCATGTGTTCCTACATTTCCTACTTGATGGGGATTAAAAATACCCAGCAAATTTGTCAAGAGAATAGTGTGGTTTCAATCTGCACTCCCAAGGAGGGAAAAATCCACAAAAACCCACAAAGTAACCCCACACACATTTGATAGCTGTCTACAAGAAAATAGATTTAAATTATTACTTCAACACCACAAAAGAAAGGTATAAACCAGGCCTACAAGGCACTGCATGACTTCTGTTGAGCAGTTTTGCAGTACCATAGGATGACACATTATTACACAAAAAAGTGACTTCATGTTCCTCCTGATGCCCCTTCCTCAGAAGTGCACAGCTGTCCATACAGCTGTGGGGCAAAACAGCTTGGTGAAACAGTTTAACAAATGAGAACAGCAAACCAAACCAATCAAACCCACCAAATTAGCTTAGGTCCCTAATAAGCCTTTCAGTGAGACTTGCTGGCCACACAGAGAAATGCCTTTGCTGATTTAAGGGGTGTGCTTTCCTCAGCAGTGATGCCTGCACCAAGTCTGAACTCGAAGAAGAGCAGAACAGTTTGATGCTACCTTTAACTTAATTTATTTATGCATTCTTCCTTGTGTGTCTTTTTTTTGTTTTTCTTTTTTTTTGCCCTGCAGCAACATAATTGCTGAATCCATCAACAAATGAAAACAACCCTGCCCTCCTACGAGCCGTCTGCAGCACTGCAGGAGTGTGATGGGCAGCTTAATCACCAGGTAGAGAATCACAGAATGGTCTGGCTCAGAAGAGACCTCAAAGATTGACTAGTTCTAACCTGCCAGGAGCAGATACACCTTCCACTAGACCAGGCTGCTCAAAGCCTCATCCAGCCAGGCCTTGGACACTTCCAAGGATGGGGCATCTACAGCTTCTCTGGGCATCCTTTTCCAAGTTCCACCCTCACAGTAAGGGATTTCTTCCTAATAGCTAATCTAAACCTAACTCCTCTTAGTTCGAATCCATTCCCCCTTGTAACGATCATAGAATCATTAAGGTTGGAAAAGACATCCAAGATAATCAAGTCCGACCTTAGCCAGAACCCACCATACTCACAAAACCGTATCACCAAGAGCCATGTCCACTTCCAAGAAGGGTGACTCCACCACTGCCCTGGGAAGTCGGTTCCAATGTCTAATCACCACTTCAGCGACGAGATTTTTTTTTTTCTGATGTCCAACCTGAGCCTGCCCTGGTGCGATAGAGGCCGTTTCCCCCTGCCTCAGGAAGGTACGGCCCAGCTTGCACAACCCGAGAGGGCGGGATCCTGCAAGTACGCCTTCGCTACACGGCGGCCCCACGGCGGCTCCCCTCCTCCTTCTCCACACGAGGGAGAAACCAGGAAAATCCACCGGGAGGCCCCGTTTCCCGCTGGAGACCCACAGGCGGCGCTTCCGGCCCGCCGCACCCCTCCGTGATCGCCGCTCCGTCCCCTTCCAGGGAGAACGGGGCACCATTACAAATGTACGCCCTCTCCGCCGGTGCAGAGGCCGGCACCGCTCCGCGCCCCGCTCCGGCCTCCCTCTCTGCGGGAGCCACGCCGAGCGCGGTTTTTCCTCGAGGATAACCCGGGGGCCTGCCACCCTTTCCCCAGCAGCCCTGCTGGGCGCTCACCTGGTCGATGTAGTGGCGCACTCGCTTCCTGAGCCGCTCCAGGTTCATCCTCCCTCCCTCCCTCCGCGCCGCTCTGGATGCCGGAGCCGCCGAGGGACCGCGGGCCGCCCGCCGGTGCAGCGCCCAAACCCGCCCCCCGCCTTCACTGCCTCCCGCCCGGAAACAGCGCCCCGAGCGCGGCGTTCCGGGAGCGCTGAGGCAGCCGGGGACATCCCCCCACTGCCTCCACACGCCCCTAAATAAACATATAATGGGACTTTTCTCTACAGTCCCTACTGTAGAGAGAGAGAAATTTGTGGTGAGGGGCTTCTTCACCGTTTCGAAGTGAAAGATTGTCCGTGGAATGTGTCCCGAGGCAATGCCCCGGAGCTGAGTCAGGGAAGGTTTAGCCTGGATACCAAGGAGAAGGTTCTTCCCCCAGAGGGTGGCTGGGCACTGGAACAGCTCCCCAGGGAACGGTCTCAGCACCAAGCCTGACAGAGCTCAGGAAGCTTTTGAACATCGCTGTCAGGCACAGGGTGTGTCTCCTGGGGATGTGCAGGGCCGGGGGTTGGGCTCGATGATCCCCGTGGGTCCCTTCCAGCTCAGGATACTCTGTGGTTCCATGATCTTCTCTGCCAGGGCTCCCACAGAGATGTGCTGCCCTGAGAGCCCCCTTCGGCTGCTGCAGCCTTGTGGTGAAAGTACTCCCTCGGGACTTTCAGGCATGGTGGATGGTGTGTCAGGAGGGTTTCCATGAGTCCTGCACCTTCCAGGCATTTTTGGTGTCACACAGGTTAGGGAATCATCCACGAGGACACTGCTGAAACATGTCAGCTTTCACTACTGAAACCCAAGTAATGTGAGCCATTAAAATGCCTGATTTGAAGTAATTCAGGTGTTGGCCAATATGTCTTGGAGCGGGTATGCATGGGACACGAGGAAGAATCACCTTCCAGGAATAAGGAAGATTTGTGTCAGGGTTACAGTGTGGAGACTGCAACAAAGGTGGCAGCTGGTCACAAGCAAACAGTCTCTGAGGAAAATGGATCCATGTGCCCTCTCTTGAATTATTTGCAGTAGCTGCACTTTGATGTAAAATGGTTTGATTTTTGTGATTTCCTCCAGGTATTAGTTAGGTCAGCTTTTCACCTCACACTGTGTCACCTTTTGGGAGCCAATTCTCTTCAGGTGCCATTGAGTGTGTGTGCTGCAGAAGGCAGATATTTATGCCTGCTGTAAAGCATAAATTTATTCTGTTATTTTTTTAACTCAACCACATTTGTAGGTCTGCCACTTTTTCGTATTTTGGTAACCAGCATCTTGGGGAAAGCAAAATCCTTGTTCATCTTTCCATCAGATCAGATAATGAAGAAACTAATCCATGTGATAGTGGTTTCTTTGGATCCAACAGTCATATCTAGTGAGGGTTATTATCATATTCAACTTCCCTAAATACGATTTCTGGGTGTGCAATACCTTCCATGGCAGGATGCAATCAAGCTTTTGTATCTACAGTTCTCAGAAACTTGTGGCTTGTAATAGTACTACCATTCCACTCATTGCATTCAGTTTAAAATCTTTGAAATCAGTATGGAAATAACAGCATATGTATTCATCAGCTTGTTAGTCTTTCTGTGTACAACAAAAGATGTTTGAGTGAGATTTTAATAACATTTAGAAACTGCTGAGTGGTGGAGCCCATGATTTGTCCTATGTGGCACATTTCCCTCTTTGACCAGGTGTTTATAATAACTCACCAGAGATCAGTGGCTTCTGTTTGGTGTGAAACATCAGGGTAGCAAACTGCAGTAATTCAGAGAGAACAAGATAAATTTAAAAATCATACAATTATTTGGGTTAGAAAGGACCTCCAAAGATCAAGTTCTAGCCCTCCTGCCAAAGACAGGGATACTTTCCATTAGACCAAGTTGGTCAAAGTCCTATCCAACCTGAGCTTGAATGTTTCCAGGAATGGAGCATCCACAACTTCTCTGGGCATCCTGTTCCAGTGCCTCACCACCTTCATCATAAAATGTGTCTTCCTTATATCTAGTCTGAATCTACCCTTTTTTAGTTTAAATATCTCAGTAGAGAAACTGAGTTTGAAACTTCATGAAATGCAGAACAAAAAATTGAAATAAAATATGAAGATTAGGAGTTGGTGCTAACCAGTAAGATAGAAATCTTGGCTGGGGAAGAAAAAAAAGATGCACAGGAAGTGTGGGGGTTGGAAGAGAAGAAAATGCTCTGGTTGGGGATGGGTGACAGTTAAGAACAGCCGTGGTTACCAGGAGCTGCTCTGAAGCACAGAGAGGACCTGTCATCTGCAAGATCTTGGAGTGGTCCAGGGAATGCTCTATGAACATGAGGAAACAGGTACAGAAATGCACATAGAGAGTGTTATTTCTCCTTCAGCATCCATTTAGTTCTTACATTGTCAAAGCAGAGTACATCATCTCATGTTGCTCCTTAACATGTGTTATGTGCTGCTTTTTCATGTTTCCCTGAAAATTTAGCTCATCTGAGTGAGCTATTTCTGGGACTGGAGCTTAGAGGAATGGTTGCCTAATCTGTGCTGGGGGGCTACAGCAGTGTGGCCCTGGGGGCTCTGCTCAGGGGGGCTCCAGTCCCATTTCTTCAACAGGAAGCTGGTCTGACATCAGCTCTCTTGAAGTAGCTGGTCATTCAAAGGCAGCACCCTTATGGACAGACTCCATCATTTTGCTCCTTCCCTGGGAGTTATGTAGGCGTGTGAGCAAATAGATGGGGCTGGCACATCATGTTGTGAACAGCAAGATCTCTGTGAAGTGGTGGTTGAGGCTTAAAAATTACCTTAGGTGTGAACAAAGGAAATTTTGAATGTTATGTAGTTTCAAATAATACGTACGTTTCTCTTTCAGATTCAAAATCAGTAGAGAGCAAAACTACTGTAATAGTTAAGTGGTGTTGATATGCCTACTTCTTTGCTTAATAATACTTTTAACAGTGGTGAGGGTATGGAGAGTCAGTTAAAACAAATTGGTCTACAAATTTGCACTCAAGCATCTTAAATCTTGACAGGAAGTGGAAGGCTCCACAGTCATAGTAAGACTTTCTCACTTTGTGGAAGTTCCTATATTTTTATCTGCTTTTAGCTATCTTCTTTCTTCTCTTCTAAAAATACCTGTAGACATGATATGTGCTGGTGCTATCACATAGCTTCTTCCTGCTGCTTTTAAATTACTGTTTCCAAGTCAGTTTGGTGCTTGCACATTTCATAGAATCACAGAACAATTCAGGCTGGAGAGGACTTTTAAGATCATCTAGTTGCAACCTCCCTGCCATAGGCAGGGTCACCTTCCACCAGACCAGGTAAACTTGATCAAGTAAAAGTGAGCGTTTTTCCTTTCACTTTGTACATGAAAAAGGCCTTCTTTGATATTGGAAAGTGTCCTTGTTTCTGGCTTGAGTACTGTAACTGAAGTGAGGCCTCTGAAATGGAGGTCTGTATCGAGCTGGGAGAAGTTCTCTCTGAAATAGCCCAGGAGTGGGTGTCAATCTTTCTGGAAGGTTTCAGAGGCAGCTCCTAACTCAGCTATTTTGTTCAGGTAAGTGGAAAAAGTGAGTGATCATCTACTGCCCTCATTATGAAGTTTTTCTTCTTCACCTCTGCAACCCCAAACCCACGTCGGCTCCTGTTTCCAATATTATGTATAAGAACTGCAGACCTGCTAAGGGGCAGCCCTTGGCAATCCCCACTTTACACAGGCAGAATATCTGAATTGCTCCCATGGGGTGTGACTCTCCCTCAGTTGCCTGCAGCATGGCTAAACTTGGAAAAAGGTATTATTTTGATGTTCATTGGGTCTAAAAAAGGTGATTTGGGAAATGGACTGAACTTGATCAACTGAGGACACCTGTGGCATGCATGGAGGGGGAGGAGGATGGAAAGGAAAGCAGCTGGCTTTCTCTTGCCTCCTACCAGCATTTTTTAATTATCTTACAGAGTTCTTGCCTTTGCATACAGAATTTGTGTCATCTCTTCTAAGCTTACTAGCATGATATTTCTGTACCTGAACTTCTATTATTTGATTGCTCATGATGAATCGCATGAGCTGTCAAAAATGCAATCTGCAATTAAAGTGAGGCCTTTCTTTAAATTTCCTCTTTCTTATTTTAGCTTGGCTTACACAACTGCTGTAAATCAGGCCTGCCTCTTCCAAACATCTTTCATCCCACTAGTCACTATCAAGCAAGTTTGACAGGTCTCCAAAAGCAGAGTTAGTTTCTGCAAGTTTTGTGGAAGTCAGTGTCAAGATTAGAGAGACGTGGGCAGACTAGTGCTCCTTTTCCCTCAAGGAAGGTTACAGCTCCAGCTAAGGAGTTACCTGCTCCATTTAGCCTGCCAGCAGCCCAGTGAGGATATGTATGGATATCAATCCATACACATTGGATCACAATTGGAGATTGTGTCAGAAGGCTTCAAAGACATGGGAAGACAGGGACTAGAGTTACTATGGAGAAAGAGAAGCTGGGGCTTGGCAAAAAATTTGGGGGCCATGTGAGTTGGTCGATAAAAACCCAAGCTTTGTGGGTTTGCTGCTCGTAGGACAATGTTTGTGCTGCAGTTATTTAGATGATGCAACCCTGTTGCTGTAAAGCAAAGGATCTTGGTATTGGTTTTCTGCAGCAGGTTTTTACTCATTGCAGTGGTGATGAGTGAATCCCGTTGATCATATCAAAACAACCAAGATCACATTTGGCTTTTTTTTTTTTTCCAAGAGATAAATTTTGGAAGAGTGGCCTCTTTCATGTTGATTTCTCTCCTTCATGCAGTATTACTCCATTTTAGCTAACAGAAGTGCCTAGGATGAGTTTGAGGTGCTTCATCTTTCTTGCTCAGGAATCAAAAAAAGAGAAATCTGTTTTAAGGAAATGAAGAAAACACAATCTTCTTTTGCTTCTTCCTGTTGATCACAATAAAATGTAACACCTTTAGGACAAATTTTAACACCGGGAAATAAATATTTGCATCACAAAAGGTGACTTTTATTACAAAGCTATGTTAACTGACTACAGTTAGGCTCCTCTATGTTTAAAGAAATTGTATGAGTATATGTTGAAGGAAGACTTAGCTCTAGGAGTTATTTTCTGCTTC